AGACCAGAAAGGTTCTTAAATGCCAAGTCTTATGTTTGGATAGAGAAGAACACAGCATCTGTTGAAACATGGGGGTGGTATTATCATGTTTTGATGCACCTGAACCGCGACAGGTTGACTGGTATTTATGGAGCAACAAATTCTTAGTAACATATGGTGAACATTGAAAAATACTCTAAAGTGAACTGAATCTTTTCAAAGCACAGAGTTTACAGGAACAAAACTAAAAATAAGCTAAATACAGACAAACAAACTGCTTTTCAAGATGAAATGTACAACAAAAATTTACATCTAAAATTTCACGTGTCAAGTCAACCTTCACAGAATTGGATACCAAAGTAAAAATAGCAGAGTAATAAAATGCACTTGATGGTAAATGATGCTGTAGCTGTTTTACGTGAACAAAATTTACTTTAGTAAAATATACATATATAGCTCTAATGATTTCAAACATTTCTAAATCTTTTTTGTTAAGTTTCTTTTTCCTGTTTTTAATAACAATGATATAATTGTTTGTCCAGCTGTTACTAAAGGTATTTTTTACATACATAAAACAAACATAATTCCTTTAAAATGTAGTCTATACGTTTAAAAAAACATACATTTTCATTAGGAATTAGCCATAACCTTGTTACTTAAAACAGTTGTTATTATGCTGCCAGTAGTGTCGTATGGGTGGTCTGCAAAATATTTAGGTGACTGGTTATCGTTGTAGGTCAGGATGCAGGTTGTGTCAGCACAGCGTTGTTTGTTTGGTATGTAGAAAATCAATGTTATTCCCATTTTAATAACCTGTAGCACACGCCCATAACATCATGGATCTATCTTTTGTTAAAGAAAAAACACATATTTGGTCACTAACAAGAAATACTACTTCAAAGTGTTCAACACTCAACTAATCAATACATTTGCAGTGGTCTCTGGTGGGAATGAATGCCTTGCAAGTCGTACTCAGGGGGATGAAAAGCCCAGATGCGCTTGGATCAGCAGGGACAATTCTGCTGCAGTAGACGGTAGGATTTGGAGTCTTATTTCCTGATATTCGGACATCTCATCTCTGATTGGATTACAGCAACTCAGCTCTACCACTGACTCTTGTTTCCTCTGCAACGTTGATGTTTTATCTCCACAAATAACACAAGCCTGGAGGACTTTCTGCTGTGTGGTTGAGTTGCTAATGGTTAGCTTCAGCTAGCTGAGACGTTCAATGCTGTTCCTTGGACGCTAAAACAACAACAGCCTTCCCCGTCGCGAGCCAAGATGGGTGAGTCCATGCAACCACTTAACTGTCAGGCTTTTCTAATCCTAGAGTTTCACTGTCTGTTTTCTATCAGGAGTTAATGCAGGAGGCAGGTGTAGGAGGCTATTTTCATGTTCAGCCTTCATGAAAAACTCAGGGTGACCCATTATAATCTGAAATAATCATTAAAAAAATTTTTTCAGTGTTCCACACCTTTCAAAAGTTTCTAAAAAGAAATCAGACAATGCCTTTGAAGTGTTTTAATGAAAGCAAAAAGAGGATACCCCTGGAAACGACTAAAACCAACTAGACCACAGGGAGGTGTTACACTAAGGCCCTGTCCACACGTAGCCGGGGATCTGCCAAAACGTAGATATTTTTCTAAGTTTTGGCCTGTCATCCACATGAAAACTGAATTTTTTCACACAAAAACGGATCTTTTTAAAAACTCCGGCCAAAGTTAAGATCTGCGTTTTCTCCGTTTTGGGTGTCTACGTGTGGACAGACAAAACCGGAGTTTTAAGGTCCGCAACGTCACTCTCCGTGACAAAAAAATGCTGACATCACGTGTGCAACCTGTGTTTACACTAGCCGACAGCATGGATGCCCTCAGAGCTGCGCTCGCTTTATCAATTGTCCAAGCGCTTTTTGCTTGTTTGTTTTTGCAAGCGGAATTATTGCTCCTTGCGGAAGACCACAAACGAAGGACGAGGTTAAGAACGGGGGAAGTACTGCCGCCTACAGGTCTGGCATGTCCTTAACAACGTATTTATCCGGGTACGTGTGGACAGAGTTTTTTTTAAGACGAGGTGGTGTGGATGCTAGTTTTTGGAGGGGCGGATATTCGTTTAAAAAAAAACCCGGCTACGTATGGACTAGGCCTAAGGTGTGCCCTTGAATAAGCTCCACAGCTGTCTTTAATCCTGTAATCAGTCAGTCTGCCTGTTTAAAGGCTGTAAAGTAGTCACAGTGTTGTTTGGTATCAGGGTGTGCACCACAATGAACATGGACCTCAGAAAGCTGAGAACACTGTTGTCTCAGGGCATTATAAACACTATCGTGGGCCAGAATGTTAAACGTAGACGCTAGAAGATCATCTCCAAGCAACTAGAAGACCATTTCCATGAAGTCAGATGTTCCTGATGAGTAGGACCAAGTCAGATTAGTCAGAAGTTTATGGTCCTACTGTAGACCAACTTTCTGAATGTGGACACACGATACAAATGGCATCCAAAAAAAGGAATCCAGAACAACTTCCAAAGGGGGAGGTAAAGGTCCGATCCATTATCGTTGGAGGCAAAGAGAACTTAGTGGAATACAATTAAGAAGAACTTTATCTAAAGCAAATAATAAAGTACTAACTATAATTTGCCTACGTTCCTGATAACGAGCCACAAATCTTCTGGTAGAACATCCTTTGCACAGAAGATACGAAATTGGAGCTTTTGGCCAAATCCCATCAGCTCATGGTCACAGACACAATTACGAAGTGAAGAGAAGAACTCTGTAGCTGCAGTGTAACATGGAGGATGCTTGGTTCTTCTCTGGTTCTGCTTTACTACACCTGAACCTGGAGGTCGTGAATCTGTTCAGGGTCCAGTGAAATCTCACAACTCTGAAAACCTTCTGGAGCTAAATGTGCTGCTGAAATTCAGAAAGCTTGTTCTGACTCTCAGGTCACAGGTCCTCTGACCAGATCAAGATTTAAAACCGATAAGAACACAAGAGAATGGATCAGAACCAAACAGTCTGAAGCTGCCTTCTATGAACTTTGATCAAATTCCTTTGAACATCTGTGGAAGGAGTTGAAACATCTGGAGAAGGAACCTTCAGACCTGAAACAGCTGTTTGACCTGAACACCTGTTGACAGGTGAAGGAGTCTGAGAGTCGTGTGTCAGTCATTAGTTTATTTATTTTCAAAAACAGCGTCTGATTTTCATTAAATTTGTATTTATTATTCCTTTAGCCAGTTTCAGGTCGGTGACCTTTGCTTTTTTCCTCAGCAGAAGAGTCCAACAGTTTTATTCGTGCAGAAGTACAGAAATAACCCTTTACTCAACCCTTTCAAGATGAAAGCAAGGGCGCCCCCAAGGGGTGGCCAGGGGTGGCCATGGCCACCCCTAGAAAATTGCTGCCCCCCCCCAGGAAAAGCTAGTGTTAACAAATCATGTTAATGTTCAGTCAAGCCATATACTGATCTTGTTTATTCAAGACATAATTGTAAATCAAAATAAAAATATTACAATGAATGAGTAAAGACATAATCACAATAAAAAATACGTATGTTTCTGCTGCTCACCATTTTATTATCTCCATAGGTTTTTGGTGTGAAAAAACAGGTGAATTAAACCAAAAAAAAATTTTTAAATTAAATTTGGGATAATTTTTAAATAACTGAAATGTATTTTTCAAAGACGTCTGTTTGTAAAATTTAAGCTAAATGTTTTGGATACATACTGTTATTTTAATAAAAACGATTAAAGGCGCCATGCAGCACATCGCCACAGACTAAATTCGACCAGAGTTACCACAAGGACCAATTTGGTGTTCCACCCCAAAAATTTCTTTGGCCCCATCTGGCCACCCCTATGAAAATTTTCTGTAGGCGCCCCTGGATGAAAGGCGATGTTGTGGCTCATTCTCACAAATGGCCGTGCTGCGCAGCTTCCTGTGGAGTTACAGCAACATATATCATCTGGTGTTTGCACACACTGCTGAACTGGAGAGCATCCAACAGACTGACACAGCGGAAGACGTGTGCATGCAGCTCTCTCACCTCTCGACACGTCAACCAGTGCAGTCGGTGGTTAGAAGCAAAACGTCCCCTCAGTCTGAGATGCTGACAAAACCGCAATGACTCAAACTGTGTTTATTTCCTTTCACCGGTCAGCCTTTTACCCAGAGCTGCTTTAGTATCGCTACTTCATTACAACACTAACTCTAGCTTATCTCCACTCATGAATGCCCTATCAGCATGGTAAAAAAAACAAAAAAAAACAATAAACTTTCAAAACTGGACCAGGAACAAAGGAGGTGTCCGAATCCTCCTTACAGGTTGCTGTGGGAGCTCCCGGGTCACGATGATGAAGTGGTTTCATCATCACATCCAGAGCCCTCGTGTTCTGTCTGCAGCCAGCTCGCACCAGGGTTCGCTTTCCCTCTAGGACAGCGCACCACTTAACGGACAAGGACACAGCTCAGACGGGAGATGGAATTAAAGGCAATCAGACGTTTGAGTTTTTTTCTTTAGACGAGAAACGAGTGACAAAATAGGGATGATAGTTTCCTCCTTTTACAAAGATACTCTTCTTATCTGCGTGACGTCAATCCAAGTCGCGTGAAACACAAACCGTGTCTCATGAAAGAAAGTTGCTGACCGATGAGGAAGAAGAAGGGTAGCAACTGAAATATTGTGTGTTGCATTTTCAGTCTGAGGACATGCTGCTGCTGGTGGATTTATGACAGATTCAGATGTATTCTGTGCAAGTTTGTGATTCTTTGTAAAAGTAGACCGATGGGTTCGTTGCTTTGTGCGTTGGAAGAGTCAAAAACAGTCACAATAATGAAAGGATAAAATAAAACGGAGAAAATCGAAGGCTCTCCTTTGAAAGGGTCCATTTATCCACACAGATCAGAGCTCTTCAAGTCAGGAGAAACGTGTCTTCACTGTAAGAAAATCTCTTGGCGTGACTCATGTCAGTTTCTTTTGTATTTTTCCTGCTCTTCTCCTCCATTTTCCTGACTTTCATCATTCTCTACTCCAAGGCTGAGAGGCCTAATCTCTCTGACCACTTCCTTATAGCTCACACTTGTTTCTTCACTTTCCTCAGCTACGCTATACTCCCCCTCTCCTTTTCTACCTTTCCATCTCCAGACCTCTCCCCTCCTCTCTCTGTCATGTCCATGAGGAACCCACCTCAGCGCCGGCGCTCTCTGGGTCCCGTCTCACCCAAACGCATCTACCGGAACCTGTCGGTCAGACTGAAGGGAGGAGAGGCTGTCGCTGCCGAGGTGGATGCACCCAAACGCGCCTGTAAGCCAGCCGAAGCGGTAAGATGTTCCACCTTTCCCCTGCTGCTAATGTATGTTTTTTTTTTTTTTGTTTTTTTTGCAAAAGCTTGAAATTTTGATTTGTTATAACAAGATGTAACTGGGGGAGCAGGTGGGTCTGGGTTGTCCGGTCCTGGGCTGCCGACATCATGAAATAGGCTAAAAGATCTCAAAAAGCAACACATTCAAAAGAAAAAGAAAATGAACAACAAAAGAACCCAGAGTGGCATCTAGAGCAGGGCTATTCCATTCTGGGCCTCAAGGGTCAGTATCCAGCACATTTTAGTGGTTTCTCTGCTCCAACACACTTGATTTGGTGGTTGAATCACCTGTGCAGCAGCTCATCAGGCTCTGCAGAAGCCTGTTAATCATCTACTAATTGAAATCAGGTGAAAGCAGGTTTAAAAAAAAGTTCTGGAAACTGGCCCTTGAGGCCTGCAATTGAATAGTCCTGATCTAGAACTCTGCAGGACTCTCCTGGTCATGGCTAAGGTTAAAGGTCATGATCCAACAACGAGAAACAACCTTAAAAAACACAAAGGCCCTTCTCACATTTGCCAGACGGCATCTTGATGATCTTTTGGGACAATATTCTGTGGACCAATGAGACAAAAGCAGAACTTTGTAGAAGGAGTGTCAAGGCGCCTGGCGAGGTGATGTCTTGCGAGGCCAGGTGCCTTGCTTACAAGGACACAGTCCTTCCTTGGTCAAAGAAAACCGTTAAATGGAACAGACTTGCATCACGTGGCCACGACAATCACGGGAGATATTACATGTATTAGTTTCAATATGAAAATAAAACAAGACTTTTACTTTTTAAATTGTGTATATGTTTATTAAATTAAAAATATAAACGAGTTACTACCCGCTAGCCACCGAAGCTGCAACTACTAAGCAACTAACCAACCATAGATAACTTCTTTGGATGTAAAAAAACATTTTAAATTAGCTGACTTACTTTTAAACTTGAAAATTGCCCCCAAAGTAGCTGCCGGCTTCTGATCCGCCGTCCTTTTGAAAATACCGCGGTGTATTGTGGGTACTTTTTGACCAAGGCTAGGCTACAAGACACCTCCCGCGTATCCTCGCTCAGCTAGCTAAACAGCTAACAAACGGAGAACACACGCCTCGGTAGAACATGAACATTGGAACAAGTCTTGGTGGGTTCTGATGACGTATCTCCTAGGCAACCAGGGTGGGGCCAAGACATCAAGGCAAGGTTCCTTGGCATTGAGAAACACCCTAAAACATTGCCATAGCAACAGTCAGACATAGTGGATGCAGTATGATGGTCTGGGGCTGCTCTGCTGCTTCAGGACCTCCTGCTGTACATGATGGAACCATGAATACTGCTCTGTAGCAGAACATCCTGGAGGAGAATGTTCGACCTTTGACCTTATACAAGCTGTTCCTACAGGAAAACCCTCCAATGTGGCTGAAATAAAACAATTCTGTAAAGAAGAGTGGGGCAAAATTTCATGCTGATAAGAGAGACTTGTTACTAATTATCATAAAGCTTGACAGTAGCTGTTTATTAAGGGGTACGTACTTTTTATACATAGTACGAGGTTGGTTTGAAGGAGTCCAGACCTGAACCCCATTTGGGATGTGCTGGAGAAGGCTTTGTGCAGCGGTCACACTCTACCATCATCAATGCAAGATCTTGGTGAAACATTAATGCATCACTGGATGGAAATAAATCTGGTGGCATCGAAACAACGCCACAGCAAATGTGTATAGTAATCAGAGCTACGGGAGGTTCAATTAAATATTAGACAGCAGTAGCTCAGGAGGTAGAGCAGGTTGTCTAGTAATCGAGAGGTTGCAGGTTCAATCCCGGCTCCGACCAGAGAATGCTGCTGTTGTGTCCTTGGCCCAGACACTTAACCCTGCCGCTGGTGCCAGTGTTCAGCAGGCCTCGCCATTGTCCGTGCACCCCAGGGCAGCTGTGGCTACATCGCAGCTCATCCCCACCAGGGTTTGAATGACTGATTGTGTTGTGAAGCGCCTTGGGGGGTTGTAGAACCTTAAGAAAGCTACACAAAAACAGACCATTTACCGTTAGAGTGTGACCTTTTTGTTTGATGGCGACTTGTTTTCTTGGCTGGGCAATAAATCGAAAATTTATCGTTGTCAAAATTTCTTTCATCCAGATAATTTTTTCCCATGACAATAAATTTGATACTAAAAAATGAAAAGATGAGTGTGGGTTGGCAACGTTCATGTCCCTTTAAGACGCTGTACCACCTTGAGTCACGTAAAAATGTGACTAAATGTAAGACATGTGACAGCCCCATCTAGTGGACAACTTTTGTTTTAGCGCATACCTGTAGTTATCGTCCATTTATCATATACCGAGGTGAAATCCTCAATATTTTGTGATATTGATTTTAGGCCGTGTCTCCCAGCCCTACGGGCAGTGTATAAATGATCCTCCTTTGTAGGATGGTCCCTCGTAGGCGCAGAGCTCTGTGGTTAAAGCTGCTTTCTGGAGTTTTCCCCTTTCAGAAATGATGTATGATTTTTCAGAAATCCGTAAAAGGGATTGTCTCATCATGTACTGTGATAAAATGTAAGCGATACATCCTTTTTTTTTTTTTGCTAACCACGCCCGGCAGAGCTCCGTGCAATAGGAAACTGAGCGCCGACCAGAACTAACCAATAGTCTGAGACTACCGCTTAGATGCTTCAAATTTAAGGAATACCTCGGCTGATGCAGAGTTGATTAACTTTTCACGGACAAGTAAGTCTCTAAAATATAAATATATGAAAACACAACATGAGATGAGAGAAATACTCATAAAACAACGTGTTTTAGCTCTGTTTGTCGGCTACAGAAGCACAATTATAAACAGAAACGGGAAGTCGCCATCTTAAACAAACAGAGCAACAGACTTTTTGTGTGATATGCTTGTCAGCCACTAGATGGTGCCATCGGATGAGAGAAATACTCCGGAAAGAAGCTTTAAGCCGGAGTAGAGTACAGATGCCACTCCTCCTTGTCAAAAGGAGTCCACTGAGGTGGCTCGGGCCTCTGATTAGGACGCTTCCTGGTTTTCTCCCTCTGGGGGACTTCTGGACATGTCCCACTGGGAGGACATCATTAGGTAGAACTTATTGGAGGAATCCTATCCCACTTCCTTGGATGGCTTTGGGGTCCCTTGGGATGGTCCTTTACCTTAGCAACACACTGTTGGTTACGTAAAAGAAAAGGGGATGGCGTTAAAGTTAATAATTAGTTTTGAACAAATTACAACCCTCAGTCACTCTTTAATCTGTTACACCAGTTTTATTCACACTATTGAAACTCTAACTTGCTTGGTGCCGTGAGGCTCCATTATGAGTTGGTCCTCCTGGGCTCCTTTGATTTATGTGCCCTGCGTTTCCCATCTCACCCACTGCCTCTTACTTCCCAGCACTCTTCCCTCTACCATCCTTAATAAATCTCTTTCCTGGAATAAACCCCCTCCCCTCTATCTTACTTACTCTCTGACTGTGCGCCCTTTCTTTTTCTCCTCAGTACAAGAATCTGTGGGAGGCAGTGGAAAATGAGGACACTTTGTCGGTACAGAGTCTTTTGTCCAAAGACCATGCCAGCTGTGGAGGTGGAGGAGGCTTGTGGGAGAGAGATAAAGAGAGGGGGGTGAACTGGGTGAGTGAACAGGGTCTAGTTCCATTGGATGTGGCTGCCCTCACCCATAACGCCCCTCTGCTTCATGTGCTGATCAGAGCAGGAGCTAGACACAACCCCGTTTGTGAGTTAGAAGTAAAATGAAATAACACCGATAAGTTTTCGTCAGGGTGATTAAAAGAGTGCTCTCTGTCTTGACCTCTCAGTGTGCCGGCCTGCCGAGTGGGCGCTCAAGCTGGACGCCCTGGTGGCGCTGGCTAGCAGACGAGTAGAAGAGTGGAAGGTGGAGTTGGCCAGGAAAGCAGGAGCTGGACCCCAATCACAGGCTGATGTCCAGAGACAGATCCACCTCTGGAGACTCCGGCTGCAGCTGTACTGCCGGATGAGAGAGAATTTCCAGAACACAGGTCCGTTACCAGCTTTTCCATCGAAGCGGTTCCATAAACACCAGCTGGTGATGTTAAAAGCCACAATGATGTTCATCAGTTATTTTCTGACTGGTTATGAGAAACTTACACAAGTACACTGCTAATGTGATGCTTAATTAACACTAAAGCAGAAGAATAGAGGTTTTGAGATTTTAAACATTTTCATTGGTTGATTGCCACCTTGACCCCGCCTCCAGCAACAAGTTTCTGCTATAACAAACTCATCATTATAACCGACTGAATTTTCTGTAAAACAAATTATTATATTTGAAAATAACTTTAATTTAATAGAATTTTATTTTATTACATTTTATTAAATTAAATGTAATTAAATTATTTTTATTTTATTATATTTTATTATATTTCTTTAATTAAATGAAATTTAAAATACATTTTGATTTAAATTTTATTTTTTAATGTAATTTAATTTAATTAAATGTTATTTTATTTATTTTATTTCATTTCATTTCATTTTTACACTGTCTTGTCCTTCTTTGTTGCCTAAAGCACCCCCACCCACCACCAGCCCATAAACACACCAGCTAACCAGTTTTCCTACCCACTATTCCGCCTTTCCCAGGATCCACTGATTTCTCTCTTTCCTATTTGTTTTCTCTCTCCCTTTCCTTGCGTTTTTAAATCACAATTTGTATTTTTTGTTATTTTAAACATATTTTTAAGAATTTTTAAAAATCTTTTTTACACTTTCATTTCTTGTTTTTGTATTTGTGAAGCGCCTTGTGATTTTTATCTTGAGAGGCGCTATATAAAATATTGTTTTCTTTCTTTTTTATTTTATTTCATTTCAAACTTTATTTTCACTTATTCACATAAAAAGAAAAAAAACTATATACAAAAGTAAATTACTAAAACCTGGGCTGCATGGTGGTGCAGTTGTTAGCACTGTTGCCTCGCAGCACGGAGGTTGCAGGTTCGAAACTCGGCTGCGGCCTTTCTGCGTGGAGTTGCGTGTTCTCCCCATGCATGCATGGGTTTCCTCCGGGTACTCCGGTTTCCCCCACAGATCACAACATGCCCTATAGGTTATCAATTGTAAGCTGCTTTGGATAAAAGCGTCTGCTAAATAAATAAACATAAAACCAAAATGAAAAAGGGACAGAAAGAAGAAAAACATAGATTGTCTGCCCCTTTTAACTCTAATAATGCTAAGACAAATGAAATAACAGTATAATTGGAAATGAACGTTAAACATAGTGATTGCTGGACTGATTGGTTGACAAAATTTCAATAAAAAAAACCTAATTAACACAAAAGAAGAACATTTACATACCTACATACACATAAATACATAAACATATATTTAGACACATGCATACATACACTTTTTTTCCCCATTTCTTTCCCTTCCACCCTCCCCTCCCCTCTTCCCCCACTTGTTTATATAACAGATCTATATGAGTTTAATTAATTAATTTTTTATCAGATTTTTAAAAGTAAATATTGTTTTTGCATCCTTGATTTCTGTACTCAATTTATTCCATATTTTTACTCCACATATTGAGATTGGGGCAGCAGTAGCTCAACAGGTAGATCGGGTTGTCCAGTAATCGGAAGATTGTAGGTTTGATCCCAGCTCTGGACAGAGAATTCTGCTGTTGTGTCCTTGGGCAAGACACTTAACCCACCTTGTCTGCTGGTGGTGGTCAGAGGGACTGGTGGCACCTGTGCTCGGCAGCCTCGCCTCTGTCAGTGCGCCCCAGGGCAGCTGTAGGATATTCTTTCATTGATGATGACTTCCTTTACTCTTTTAATTTTTATACAATCTATATTTAGTAAAGTTTTTTCATTTAAATTTGTATGACCATATAGCATAAAACTTGATTTATCAGTATTTAATGAAAGTTACTTTCCATCAAACCACAATTAATTTTTTTGCAACTTTGTTTGTACCACTTCTATCATTTGTTCAAAATTATCTCCAGAATAATAAAAAGCTGTGTCATCTGTAAATAAAATGCATTTTAATATATTAGATATAAAAACAATATAATTTATGAAAATAATAAATAGTTTAGGGTCTAGTAGCGACCCTTGTGGTACACCACAAGTAATATTACATAAATTAGATTTATTGTTGTTTATTTGCACAAATTGTTATCTATCATTTAAATAATTAGTTATCCATTTTAGGGCCATTCCTTTGATGCTGTATTTACTACGTTTTTTAAGAAGAATTTCATGATCCACTGTATCAAATCCATTTTTTAGGTCAATAAAAATACTTATGAAATGGTTGTTTTTAGCAATGGCTTCTGATATTTCTCCCGTTAATTCCATTAGTGCCATGGAAGTAAAATAATTAGTTCTAAAACCATATTGACTGTTATTTAATATATTTTCTTTGAGCAGGAATTTGTCCAACCTAGTGCTAAACTGTTTTTCTAATATTTTGAAAATTGTGATAGTAAAGATATTGGTCTGTAGTTGGAAAAGATGCGTTTGTCTCCACTTATGTTAACTGGTATGACTTTTGCAACTCTCACCCTGTTGAGAAATGTCCCTGTTGCAAAAGATAAATTACATGTATTTTTTTTTATTAATCTTATGCCTAGATTGTCACTGTCAGTATAGTTATTTTATTGATGCATTTACTTACAGCATTCCTTATTTCATCGCTTGTTACTGGACTTAAAGATGTACTTTCTTTACCGCACAGGAAGACTGTTCAGCTTTGTTTTTTGTCAATAGTCGACGTCTGTGGTGAAGCTCACTGAAAATATAAGACAGTTCTGAAGGTAAAAGGGGCTCAACCAGGCACTATGCGTACCTGATGAAGTTACTGGTGAGCGTATGTCTGGCTACACAATCAAACAGCATTTAAAATAAAAAATCCACCTGAATACTTCAACACGATCAATAAGTTGACATTTAGCTGTCTGTGGGGCTCAGCGTGACGTGTTCCCTCCAGTTCTAATCTGCAAAGCCACCATCAGTGCTGATAAGGCAACAGAGATCCACAAGTCCGATTTAAATCTTTGATTCTTCTGGTCAGGCCTTTTGTTAAGTCTGAACTGAACCTTTCCGTGTGGCTAACCCCTTTCACCTCACTTGAAATTCACCCTCATGTCATCAGCCTGTCCAAATTCTCTTGTGGCCTTCTGTTCCTCTTTTGGAAACCTGTGTCAGATAGATGGTAGGAAACCCACATAAAGGAATAATTTCAAAGATGGGGTGCTTTTTTATTTTTCGTATACCATCCTGCTCACGTCTTCCTTGTGTTCACTGGTTCAAATGATTGAGTTCTAAAAAAATCTCTTTTTCTAATGTATTTACACAGAACTCATTTATTTTCCAACGCTTAAAAAATCTCCCCGACTGCATTATTAGCTCAGTGTTAATGTGGCGAGCGGGGCCACTTATCAATTTAGAAACAACGCCACCTGATTATCAGGAACCAAAACGACTGAAACTAAGGCACATTAGTTCATTTTTACAAATCAAGCTTGAGACGGAGTTCCATTCCACACAAACAGTTTTTATTCAAAGAATAAAATGAGTTTAAAATAATCTAAAAACACCATGCACCTGCAGATCAACACTGCTTAAAACCAAATCAACTTAGGCTGAGGCTGACTAATGGGGCTGCCTAAGAGAGCCCAGAACTAAATACCAACCACAAGTAATTTCACCCCAATCACACGTGCATGCATTCGGGGGGTGAAGTGACTCTGGAGCACACGCACACCATCAAAAGGACCACCACCAGGGCTCGACCACCACTGTCAGCTCACAGCCTAAATGAAAAGAAAACAGAAAACAGTAAAAATCCAAATCCACACACACACACACACACACACACAACTGAGCAGGCAGGCCGTCAGGGAATGAGCGAGCATACAGCTCGCCTGCACACAAGTCTATTAGCCTGCGCCTCAGCCGTCCTTATGAGCTCCCGGGCAGACGACAACTGCCGGTAGGGCCCGCAGCCCCTCGTTAGAATACCCAACCCCACAGCGGGTGTACGCCCTCCGCTGGTATTCAGTACAGAGGAGTGAGTGACAAAGCCGCTCCCGATGGTCTCCGCTGATCCCGTCAACCAGTCCGAGCAGCGGGGTGGAGAGGTCTTGGAGCCGGATGATGGTCCAGCACCGGGTCAACAACCGGTAACAGAGATCTCACGAAACTGTGCAGAAAAGCAGCAGAACAGCAGAACAGCAGAGTCTCCTGTGGAGACACACCCCTTCCTGGATCTGGAAGACACATTAATTAGTCTTATCCTAAAGCCACAGCTAAGTGGAGAGGAGCGCAGATGTACATACCACTTCTTTGAAGCACATAGGATAAAAGAAGCCTTCCGTTACTCTGGGAGGACCACATACAACAATTCCTGTGGCAGGAGCAACCAATAAACACCAGACTCCATGCAACTACTGCAGCGTTTTTAAATAGTACTCACAGTCCGACACGCCGGAGTCCCGTACACAACAGCTCTTCACACATGAAGCGGAAGTTAAGCCAAAGTAAAAGATCGCTGTAGCGCCACCTCAGGCCCTATTTATATGAGCGCCTTCCCTCAATGATAGGTCGTCCAATTACTCGGTGGCAGGTGACTCATCCCACTACATTAAGGAGAATCAGGCTCCAGGTCTTCTTTTTTGTGCAGTGAAATGAAACATACTTATACTGCAAACCTCTTGGGGGAAAGGGTGTGGGGAAACTGCCTAAAATCAGAAATATAAATGATTTTTTTTTCACCTTAGGTGTCATTTATTGTAAGTTATTCAATTCCAGGTCACAGCAGAACGTGAGCTAACACTAAGTACTTTTGTCTAGACTCAGTGGACACAACGCGGTTGTGTCTGATCACAAAACAGAAACTCTGGGCTGGTGCTGTGTTTGCAGTAACGATGAACACCACCCACTGGGTGTTTCTCAATGTCAAGGCGCCTGGCCTTGCGAGGTGATGTCTTGCGAGGTCAGGCGCCTTGCTTACGAGGACACGGTCCTTCCTTGGTCAAAGAAAATGGTAAAATGGAACAGACTTGCATCACGAGACCGCAGCTTCCACGACGGTCACGTAACGTCACGTGACACGAGAGATAACATTATATTTTATACGTATTAGTTTCAATATAAATATATAACGAGCCTTTTACTTTTTAAATTGTGTATATGTTTATTAAATTAAATATTTAAGTGAGCTAGCCAACGAAGCTGCAACTACTAAGCAACTAACCAACAATAGATAACTTCTTTGGATCTAAAAAAATACATTTTTAATTAGTTGACTTAATTTTAAACTCCAAAATTGTCTCCGAAGTAGCTGCCGGCTTCTGATCCGCCGTCCTTTTTAAAATACCGCAACGTATTGTGGGTAATTTTTGACCAAAGCTAAGCTACAACTTGTAGCTAAGATCATATTTATTATCTTGTCTTATAGCATGACAAAAAATGTGTAAGAGAGATATTAAACAATTGAGCATGGGGGCCCACTTGTACCTAGGGCCCAGAATTTGGTGCTACGCCCCTGGCTACAAGACACCTCCCGTGCATCCTCGCCCAGCTAGCTAAACGGCTAACAAATGGAGAACACACACCTCGGTAGAACATGAACATTGGAACTGACTGGAACACGCCTTGGCGACTCCTGATGATGTATCTCCTAGGCAACCGGGGCAGGGCCAAGACATCAAGGCAAGGTTCCTTGACATTGAGAAACACCCGCTGTGTTTTAAAACAAAATGCTTCATAGGAAGACACTCATTATTGGTTGATTTGGGGGACTGTAATCTTAGCAGCACCAATGCAAAAAAGCCAAACACCTTAAATGGGTCATAAACAAGTCCACAAGTCATTGCTTTATTTTGAAAGAATGGCTTAAACCATTATAGCTAAATGTAGTGGCTAGATGTGCTAAGATGCTTAAGCTAGCTTGTAAACAGGAATAAAAGAAGATATTCATTGTGCCATTTTTATTTCTACCTTCTTTTTTAAAGCCGCAGCTAACAATGTTTTTCTGTTCTCAAATGGTGAATTCACACTGAATTGAAATGAACCACAAAGACATCCAGCAAACATGGCTGTTTGGGCCCACCTTGGGCGGTGTCTCGGGTGGTATAAAGCAGGGGAATCCCACACTTACCCCAGAGTTAGCACGTGAGGATCTTGTGTATGAGTAGGGCCAGTATGTATTTTCCCATGCGGGCCCCTTTGGGCTTTAGCTAAGGGCAACACACACATACATCTGCCCAAATCCATCCCATGCTGAGCCCTTGTGGGGGGCCCTGTGCCAGCCCAATGGATGTTTGCAGTTATGCGTTAACAGTGTTTATTACTGTGGGGTGCCCACAGTAATAAACACCGGCCCCACCAATATGAGAAACCCAGCAGTCTGCCAAGTTTAAACCGTCATGGGGATTTCTGTGGGCACCCCACAATGTTATGTGCCCCAAAACTACCCACAGTGTCCTTGTTGGTGCCAGTCCATGTGGGAAATCCAGCACTCTGCCCAGTTTAAACCCTCAGTGTGGTTTCTGGGCATTCCACAGTAGCATCTGCCCAGTAACTTCCCACAGTGGCCTTGTTGGTGTGAGCCAATATGTGGAATCCAGCAGTCTGCCACGTTTTCTGCCTCATGGGGGTTTCTGTGGGCACTCGGTGTTATGTGCCCCATAACTACCCACAGTGGCCCCGTGGGTGTCAGCCCAAATGGGGGACTGCCCAGTATAACACTAACACTGTGGGTAGTTTTTAGGGCACATAGAAATTACTGTCAGAGAATATTCTGGGAAGACTGTTGGGTTCTTGATATGGGCTGACACTGAAGGGGCCGCTGTGGGTAGCTTTTGGGCAGATGCCCCTGTGGGGTGCCCACGGAAATCACACCAAGGGATTAAACTGGGCGGACCCCTGGAATCCCCACATGGGCTGACACACACAGGGACACTGTGGATATTTTTGGGCAGAATCCCACAATGGGGTGCCCACATGAATCACACCAAGGGATTGAACTGTGCAGACTTCTGGATTCCCCACATGGGATGGCACTCATGGGGCCATTGTGGGTAGTTTTTGGGCAGAGTCCACTGTTGGGTGCCAACAGAAATAATTAAAGTTATTGCACAAGTGCAAACATCCATTGGGCAGGTTTAGGGCACCCCACAAGGACTCAGCATGGGATGGATTTGGGCAGATTGGGGTTGCCCTTAACTAAATCTAAATGGGGCCAATATGGGAAAACGTATATAAGCCCCATTCATGCAACCACACACAGGATGCTTGTTGGTGAACTCTGGTGCATATGTGGGTTTGCCCTGCCCACACTAGCTCAGACACAGCTCACAAAGCTCATGGTGGGCCCAAATGGGAATGTTTGCTGGATTGGTCTTTATTCACCTAACATTATCTGTGATTGTCTCCCTCAGAGCTCCCAGGGACTCCCAGTCATGTGTCCTTACTGGTAACCAGCACATCATCCCTATGGGTAATGATCAAAGAGCCAGAGGAAAATGGCACAGGGCTCATCACCCGCTACAGAGGTAAAGGGCCATTGAGATAAGGAGGTAATGTTGGATGAACTATAGAGGGTTTTGATGAAAGCTGCTATCAAAAGTCTTTTTACTGGATCAATAAAATAAGTCTCAGAGCACCAAAGCTGGGCTGAATTAAAGCCTTTTACTTGTAGTTCAATGTTACTGCTCTGTTTCTGGCACATAAGGTATAAAAAATTGTTAAAAATGGAACATTTAAATACTTTTACTAGTAATAATGCACTTCAAACACAGCATTCATTTCACATGTGCAAAACTCCAACTGAGGACGGCATCCAGGAGCTTCTCCCTGAGACCAATCATTGCTATATATTGCTATATATATATATATATATATATATATATATATATATATATATATATATATATATATATATATATATATATATATATATATATATATATATATATATATATATATATATTTATATTTATATATGTGTGTGTGTACATGTACAAATGGTCAGTTTTTAGGTACAGTTTGACCATTCAACATTTGGTCAAAAAGGAGACACGAGACTGGTCATGGAGTTGTCTCCAGGTCAACAGATGGATGGACCCACGTGTCTCGGACTCTTGAGGAGTCTAAACAAAATCAGCTTGTTCTGCAGCAACTGTTGCGGTATCAGCTTTGCAGGTGCAAAAAGGTTTTGACGACGTGTCAAAAGCTTTGAAGGTTAAAGAGGGTTTTGCTTCAGATGGCCGGTCTGAAGCTTTCTCTAGAACTGCTGAATCACCAGAGTGATCTGGTTCTAATGTTCTCATGTTATTATTTGTGTAGCCAACCAGAGGTTGACAAGTTTGAGGAATATTACCAAGAGTCTCAGAAACACACGCCTTCTTTGATACGGATGCTCTGATCTGGGGTAAACGCTATTTATGTGTCATGAGTTTAACTTAACCTTACTTTGTTCTTGTGTGAGTGCAAGTGGTGATGACCTTGTCATATTAACATGCTGAAACATATTTCAATCACTGTAATCATAACATAACATTCCTTTCAAACTTCAATCATTGAGCACAGATTGATGAAACATTTCATTATACTCTTAATTATTATAAGTAGCAATAAACAAATGTTTATTTAATGATTATCTAGCTTATAAGTTTTAGAAGTTCATATTTAATTTACAAAATCATTCTTTGATTTAGCAACTGATCAGAGCTGCGAGTGTTAGGCATGAAGAATCCTATAGGACGATAAGGATGGACCTTGAGGAGAGAATATTATAGTTGACAATTCGTTTTCTGTGTTCAGAGCTGCAGAGAGGCTCTGAGCTCCAGCTGATGGGATGAAGGCAGGCCAATTTAAAGGGAACATATGCAATCTTGTGTCTCCTTTTTGACCAGATGTTGAATGGTCAAACTGAACCTAAAAACTGACCATTTCTGGATGTCACAATATATATATATATATATATATATATATATATATATATATATATATATATATATATATATATATATATATATATATATATATATATATATATATATATATATATACAGTGATTGATATATGTTTCAGCATGTTAATATAGAATTGGGGGGAAATGTCTTAAATAACAGGAGGAAAATGGCTTTTCTTTCCAGTTGCATCATATCTGACTGCCAGGAGTAGGTTTAGCTTAAGCCTGGCTGTTTTTCAGCTGTTCTCCATTTCTTTGTTCCCCTAATGGAGCTGCTTTTGTTTGCAGTGGAATGGAGCACGTTCGCCAACTTTAAACACGTTCTCGGTTCAGCAGAAGTCACAGAGACTAAGAACCCCTCGTTTATTATCAAAGGCCTGACAACAGTAAGTTACCCAGCGCGCGCGCGCGCACACACACACACACACACACACACACACACACACACACACACACACACACACACACACACACACACACACACACACACACACACCTAGTATTGATTCAGAGGGTTAACACATGCTGGTAATTTGTCTATTGGCTGTGTCTCTAAATCCAGGGAGAGCAGTACTTTGTAAGAGTAAGTGCCTACAATGTGAAAGGATGGGGCCCGGCTCGGTTCTCCTCCCCAGTCAGTGCTGCTCCCTCTAGTGAGTATCTGCTGCCTCAAACCTTATTTCAAAAGTCCACCCACTTACCCACAAAACTGCTTCACAATAAAACTTTTATTTAGCTGACAAGGAGCTTTAAGATTAAAAATGCACTCCTGGTTGGTGGATTCATGAATTATTAACACATGGAGATTAAAGGGCGTGATCGTGAATCAATGGGCCTTATAGCTGTGCTTCTTTGAGTTTGAACTGGTCTCATAATTTGTCTTTCATGCAACACCACCCCCTCTTGTTTTATTTTATACCCTTTAACCAACCAGCAGTGCTGCAGAACGACTCTTAAATCAAGCAGAAAAGCAAAAGACGACCATAAATCAAAACATTGAAGTGTTATTTTGGTCTAACTTGAAATTAGCATTAAGGCTGAGGTAAGACCTGGTCACAGCAACTCGAACTCCTACAGCATGTGGATATTTTGTCATTCGAGACCTCCTGTTTCCTTGTAACTCTGAAAGCAGCCTTCCTAACTCAGTTCCACGTGAATCTGAATGATTCTTCCTGACAACAAAAAGTGATGATTTGTCTTTCCCTTTCTTCCTGGGCAGGTTGGACAGAGTGTCCCGGTGTAAAGATGCAGACCAGGAACCATGAGGGTCTTGTAAGGAAACTGCTGGAAGATGCCAGAGAGTTGCAGTACAGAGGATGTAACATCGGTAACAGTCTTTATGTAGTTATACTTGTCACAGCTGCTGCTAACATCGCATTAGGACGTAATAGAATTTTATTGAATAACTTTATTTGTCAGTAGCCACGTTTACATGTGCATATATAATCAGATCGAACGCCCAATCAGATAAAAAATTCTGCATGTAAACATGTCAATCGAAATGTTGTGATCCGATTGAGAGAGGTGTTTTTTTCCGATTCTCATTCCGATTGACCTGCATGCACACAGCCATTCGGATTGTTGGAGTAAAATAATGCCCACTGCGCATGCGTGCAACAGCTAGAGAGCCTCCCCGCCGTCATTTAGACTGCCTGACTTAATAAATGAAGGCCTAATTAACGAGCGACGGCTTTTAAATATGATGGCAAGCGTCCCCGTTTCAGTACTATCGTATCCAGAACTTGCATTTTGTGGAAGTAAAATAAAAATCAGATTATTGCACAAATCATTCGACAAGCGTGTCCAAGTCTGTACTGGAAACACGCAGAGTCATTCGGTTTGCAGCGCGGATCTGTTGCTGTGAATGCAGCAGCTGTTTCTGCGGCAGGTGGACGGAGACGTGCTAAAAAGAAGACTGGGTAACGTCGGTTAAACGCACCTGGTTTGAGTTTAAGGAGGCTGATGTTGAGTAGAAAAACATCCTCAGTTAAATATTCTGGGTGACGATCTGTGTAAAAGCACGTTAACGCAGATGACCCGAGATGCGGTTCGTTTATGAACACATGATCAACACAGGCTTCCAAACTTCCCGAACATCTCCCGTTATTCAGTTTGAACCATTTTTCTCAAAAGTTTCAGCTGATTGACCCCCCCACCCAAGCCCCGCTCCTCGCTGTGCCCAGCCGTCGCCGAAGAAAACGTAACTTCTATAAGCAAAATAAAAACATTGAATTGATTAAATGAATCTTGAAAGCAGGAAGAATTGTTTTTTTTTTCTGTTTTTCCTTTTTTCATTTCGTTTAATGACGTTTTACAATTTTTTTTTCTTTCGGGGAAAGACAACTCTGCATGCTCAATCTATTTAATCTGATTGAATAATTGATGTGTAGAACCTCACGGCATGACCGGACCATTTCAGCTAGTGTGCATGTAAACGGAGCGTCGGGAGTTCCGATCAACCAAGATTTGAATCGGATTGGGGGAATTTGACGCATGTAAACGTGGCTACAGTGGCATTGTTAAACTGAGAAACCTTTTTTCATTTAAATTTTTGAAAACGATCACTCACTCAGAGTTTCACATGCAGGCTAAATGTAAAAATTGTCTTCTACTCTTATTTCCTGCATTAGCCGCACTTAGACGGGGAAACGCTTAGATTAGAAAAACCACACGCACGTTACACTGTAAATGGTAAATGGCCTGTATTTGTATGGACAATAAAGCTGATTCTGATTAGGGTTCTACAACCCCTCAAGGCGCTTCACAACACAACCATTCACACACTGGTGGTGATGAGCTACGATGTAGCTGCAGCTGCCCTGGGGTGCACTGACAGAGGCGAGGCTGCTGATCACAGGCGCCACCGGTCCCGCCGACCACCACCAGCAGGCAAGGTGGATAGAAGTGTCTTGCCCAAAGACACAACAGCACAGTTCTCTTGTCGGAGCCGGGATTAAACCTGCAACATTCCGATTATCGGACAACCCACTCTACCTCCTACTGTAAATTTGCATTCCTGGACTCACCCATCTTGTATCACGACCAGGAAGCCTGTTGTTGATTCGGGGTCCAGGAAGCAGCAGAGAACGTCTCGGCTAGTAGAAGCAAACAGTTAGCATTAGCAAATCCACCACACTGCAGAACTCCTCCAGACTTGTGTTGTTTTTGGAGATAAAACATCCACTCTGCAGAGCAAACAGAGGAAGTGATGGAGTCGTGTTGCTGTTAGCCAGTCACAAGAGAGATGTTTGATTGTCATGAATAATAATGAGTAATAATCCAAGGCCCAGTCCCATCACCTACACTGCAGATCGGTCCTTCTGAGTTTCACATTAAGGCTGAACATGAAAATAGTCTTATTCCCCCATTTTCTGCATTAGCCTCAGGTAGAAAACAGACGGTGAAACTCTAGGATTAGAAAAGCCCGTCAGATCTACATCACACTGTCCCTTAACATTCATGGACTCATCCATCTTGGCTCACGACGGGGAAGGATGTTGATGAATTTGTGTCCAGGAAACAGCAGAGTAGAAGCTAACCGTTAGCATTAGCAACTCCACAACACAGCAAAACTCCTCCAGGCTTGTGTTATTTGTGGAGATGAAACATCAGTGTTGCAGAGCAAACAGAGTCCGTGGTAGAGTCGTGTTGCTGTTAGCCAATCAGAGGAGAGTTGTCCAAATGTCAGGAAATAAGACTCCATAACCTGACATCTTCTGCTTACTTGTCGTCTGGCTCACTTCTAGTTCCTGAAACAGGAGTGCCAGAGCTTTTTTCCCTCAGAGACCGACTCACAAGACGCTCATTTATACTAGAGACCACTGCAGATGTGTTGATTAAACGAGTGACCTTAGTCTTTAAGTTGCCTCTTTCTACTCATTGCGTTGAGAACACTACACCTGTTGGTCATATGGTAAAACATTGAATTGAAGGCAGTTTTATTTAGAAATACTGCAAACCAATCAGATCTGTCCCCATGAGACACGTGATCACTGAGCAGCATGCTGTCACTTGACTTTAGCAAAACCTCAATACTCACTCTGCTTCAGAGTTTCATGTAAAGAGTTATTTGAATATTCTAATGTATCGTTTCATTCCTTAAAGAGCAAGTCACCCCCTACCAGATTCTTCAACTCCCACTTCCTGTTTGAAAAATGCAACAAATACTGTTGCCTAGCAGACCGAGAGGGCGGAGCCGCTAACAAACACACACACACACACACACACACACACACACACACACACACACACACACACACACACACACACACACACACACACACACACACACACACACACACACACACACAGGCTCACAACGACATTGTGACATCATATGGTACCAGCTAACGTTCTAGGGTACCTTTTAGCCAATAGCGATGGCAGATTTAAATTCAAATGCAGTGCAGAGTTTTTACTTGACAACGGCTCAACACTGACAGTTTTAGGCAGAAAATTAAAATTTTAACTAAAATGCACTAAAGTGCAAAACTATTGACTACACGTGTCTGCAGCACGATTAGACACACATTTATATAGTTTATCAGAAAAAATAAGTTGATTTGGGGGTGACTTGCTCTTTAACTAAATCAGTTATTGTTAGTGTAAAATAAAACAATATATGTTCTTCAGGTGGTGTGTTTAAACAGAACATATCTCACTTGCTTTTTAACAGGGTATCCGCGGGTCCTTAAAAAGTCTTAAATTAGCTTTTCCAAATTTAAGGCCTTAAAAATCCTTAAAAATGACAAATAATCCTTAAATACAGTTTCCAAAGGTCTTAAATTACCAAAGACCCAATAAACAAGATTCTTTTATTTCTGTTAAAATTTTGTGAATTTCTAGTTAGTGTTCAGCGTTTTTTGTGTACGATGTTGGCGTAAGCGGAACCGTTCACATTCAGTGAAAGGGGGATATTTTTAGATGAGCACATTAGCTGGTTAAGCTAGTGGGAGCTTGCGCCATGGGAAAGTGCAAGTTTATTGGTAACTGGATGGCTAATCCCACGTTCCCGGCGTTCCAAGCAATAGCTGGAAATCATAGCTTAAATTTCATTTTTTTTTAACTGCTTAAATTTGGTCAAAGTGGCCTTAAAAAGGTCTTAAAAAGTCTTAAATTTGGCTCCCTTAAACCTGCAGATACCCTGTTTAAAGAATTCATCAAAAAAAAACTCAATGATCTCAAATCTGCTGACATTCACTGTAATAAAGTGAAATGTTTTCAGCATTTCAGTGCCCACACAGCACCACCTTTGAATGCTCGAATGCCCATTTCAGTCCCAGTAAATGTATTCTGGTAGATGAAAAGATTTTCCTCTAGTCTGATCCTCCTCTTCTCTTCAATTCCACAGAGAGTTTCAAGCCGCAGAGTCCTGGTAAGCGTCTGTCGGTGTCTCGAGGCATCAAACAGCTCTTCCGGTCCACCACCAAGTTTGTTCGTCGTCTACAAAGGTAGCGCTCGTTCGCCTCACGGTTCTCACCACGCCTTGAGGGGATGGAGGAGAATCACTTAGATGTGGTGCATCACAGCAGCGCTAGTCCAAACGCTTGTTATTTAGCTGCTGTTGAATAAGAGCATCAGTTAGTGCTGCTGTAGTTATAAGATGAGCATTTTAAAAGAAGACGTTTGAGATCAGAGCACCGCTGCGAGGCATACAAACCACTCAACAGTTAGTTTTAAACTTCCAGAAAACCACAGCTGCTGACGATTGCTCACTTCAGGTGATGTTCAGGTCACTGATGCTGTTTTCCTCTAGCAGGTTTAAAGCTTGATCTGATTAAACATTTAGTCTTTCTGTGTGGTTTTCGTTAGGGGGGTATACCTGGCAACCGTGTTCTACCACAAGGACAACATCCTGGTGACAGCTGAAGATCAGATCCCACTGGTGGAGATCCAGTGCTGCTCCACCTCCATCACACAGGACTTCCTGTGGTTTGCTAAGGTGAGCTGATCAAAGACGGGATGTGTAAAAGCGTCAGAAAGAGTGACTTTAAAGACCAGGAGAAACCGGTTTTCACTTGTTATTTTAGAGGTACGATTGGTCACCGTGTAACATGCTGGCTTTTCCTGCGTTAGCCGCTGGTAGACGGGAAAACGCTCAGATTAGGAAAGACCACACGGATCTACGTCACACTTCATGGCTCGCGACAGGGAAGGCTGCTGCTGATTTAGCATCCAGGAGAGACTAAAGCCTAGTTTATACTTCTCTGTCTGCATCGGGATGGAAGCATGCAACGCCTTTATCCGTCCTTTCGTTGGCTCTCCGACGGGCTCGCAAGGACGGACGGAGTCGAGATCTCTTTTCTAAATATCTGTCCGTCGAGATGGAGAACGCAAGCTTGTGATTGGTCAGGACGCCGCTGTCGTCTACAGCGCCACCCTCAAAACATAAAGAGAGCCGAGGATATCTAGCGGCGGACACGGTGCAGCTTAAAGAATGTGTCGGGGAAAAACTCTAAAAATATGATCGTTTTATTCCCCCGTGACTGGAGGAGAGGAAAGATGCGCAGCAAGCGTTTTATTCGTGGAAGGAAATGACGGCAAACGTGGGTTTAGGGGTGGCGAGCGCAAATTTGTCCGTGTTAAAAAGTGTCTTAAAGAGACAGTGTGTATTTTCTCTGGCGAAAGGGGGCAGTAGACGCCTAAATCATTGCAAGCAAGCATTATATTTGTGTTGGATTAAGACCTTACCAACGGATGCCCATTAGGGTCAAAAAGCCTCAGACCTCCTTTCAGCACTGGCACGGAGTGAAGAGGTAAATGTGTACAACAAGCTTTATGAATAGTTGTTACGCCCCCTCTGAAGGTCTAGGAGGATGAGGGGACTAACACAAGAAAATAGGTGTAGGTGTGTGTGAGTGGATTAAGGACGAGGAGGTTAGAGTAAAAACAAAAGGATTTATTAACACAAGGTGTCCGTGTCTGAACGGTAAAAATAAGGTTTAACAATGACGGTGCAAAATAAGGTGGAAACTGAAAACATAAGCAGACTAACTGCTTATGAAAAGGCTTTCTGCCAAACTAAGATGACAACCACCTAAACGATAAATATCCCCGGCTCAAAAGTCCCATGGGGATAAAAGAAAACCACCGAGATCAGAAACTGATGTTCAGTCAGCTAAATCCTTCTAAAGAGGATAATTAAGTCAAAACCATATAGCAAACACCCCACAAAAGGCTTTACCATTAGCCAGGCGTGTGAAACACACTCAGAAGGAACCCAGGCTAATCCTGGATCCTTAGTAGAAAACCTTAAACAAATAATGAGCGAGGGAGAATCTCAGGCTACTCCTGGATCTCTAGCAACAACCTTAAACCCAAACGGTAACGGAGTGAATAGCCTTAAACCCGAGTGGTAACGGTCCGTGAGCTAGGGAGGAACACAGGCTAATCCTGGCTCTCCTCGACTGTCTGTTTCTCCCCTCTTTTAAGTCCTGGGAGCTGCTTGATGGCTGATGCAGGTCAGCTGCGGTCTTTGCCGGTGTGCCTCTCTCCGAGGTCCTGAACTGGCACTGTGGCGCTGGAGAGTGTGAGCAGGCCACTCCTGGCACTGTCCCTGGTGCTGGATCCTTTGCAGCGGTGACAAAAGGCTCAGGTTGGGATGAGAGGACGAACCGAGGGGGCGAGGGTCGTGACAATAGTGAAAGTTTTCTATCGTCTGTTACAAATCAGTAAATGCATTTTGTCCTCCTGGGCTCCCGTAGAAGGAAACATAGCATCTAATATAGAGTTGTCCTGAGACTTAGACCCGTTCCCATGTATTTTAGACCTGATTTTATGGTTATATGTTATGAAGCTGCCAATATTTTTCAACAACTGGGCATCATTTCATTCATTTTCAACAACATTTTGATGGATATTTCCAGAGACTGATGGTTAAAAACTACACGTTGTCTCTTAAATACAGAAAAACACAATATAAACACACTATCTTGGACCGGATACATGACAGGATACTACAGAACAGCGCTACGCCCTCTGTTGTCCTGGCGGGGAATTGCTTTGCAGCACTCCCCAGGAGACGGAGAAGTATGAGGGTAAATTGTCTCCATCCATGCGTGTCTCTCCCTGGAGGAGGAGGCTTTAAGCTTGTCTTGGCTAGTAGAAGCTAACATTAGCAACCCAAAGCCACACTGGAGGCATCAGCGGCACAGAACGATGTGTTAATCCATACCGGGGGAGCGTCTTCGCCATCCTCCTTGCTAGATTTGTGAGATCACAAAATCCTTCGAAATGTCAAAGGTCATGTTTGGTTTATGTCAGGGGTCCTCAATTATAATGGTCCGAGGGCCACTCACAAAAAAGACCCAGAAGCAAGAGGGCTGGGGTGGGGGGGTGGGGGGGGGGTCGCTGGCTGTAATGCACATAACACACAAGCATGCAATATAAAGAAGAGCAGTACCTGTCCCCCTCCAGCTCGGCTGTGTGACTGCACTAACCTGTCCTGTGTGACCCTCACCATGTAACCCTCATGTCCATGCTGTCTCTGGAGGAGCAGATAGGAAACAAGACCTCCTGTAACTCAAAATGAACCAAAGCTTCCTCCCAGTTTCTCTTTAAGCTGGATTTAACATCAGTTTATCTTCATGAAACAAAAGAATAAAGTGGAACAAGAACTTCTATCTTCTATTTCTCCTGTTAACTTCTCTGTGGCCCTAAACAAAAGAGACAGGTTACGCTGCAGCCGCCGTCATTGACCCCACCTCCCCCCCGCCTCCCCCAAGACCGGATCTCCCAACACCACAGCACTCGGTCTGACTGAGCGCTTCCAGGAGAAATAATGAAATTATGAAAATAATAACACGTTTGGAGGAGCGTCCTCCGATCCTCTCTCACTCTTTGATTATTTGATTATTTTCCTCAGCTCTATCTTACACCTCCCGGTCGGCCGTCGGGGGTGGGGGATGCGCGCGGGGTTTGTGGGTCACAAAGAGAGGGCTCATGGGCCGGATGTGGCCTGCGGGCCACCATTTGCGGACCACTGGTGTATGTCATCCGCCATTAAAGAAAAAGAGAAGGAGATCATGTTTTATATCATTAATAATGTTGTTCGTCTCCACCGCCAGGACTAAAGCCATTAAAAACACACGACCGGTTTGGATCAATCCAAAAGACTATAATGGATTCTATTTGAAGCAGCGACGTTTCGTGCCAAAAGGAGTGAAATTATCATGAATAATAATAAATAATACTCCAACTTGGACTTCAGTCCTAACACATGACATATTTTACATCATACATTTTACATATTTTCCATATTAGCTCTTGTTATTTTACATGTCACGTATTTTACTCCTTCCAGTGTTTGCTCTGTGGAGCCCTCTGCCTCGGGACCGGTGGTCGGTGGCGGCTGGGGCGCTCCTTGGGTAGTGCCCAGGTAGTGGTGGGGGTTGCCACCCTCCCTCCCAGGGCTCCATGGATTGGTGTCTTGGCTGCTGCTGTCGATCTGCTGCTGTCGAGGCAGATGGCTCCCATGATGGCGTGTCTTTCATTACCTGTCCAATCTGAGCTCAGCCTAGTGTTTACTGTGGTCTTTTAATGTGTTGTGTGTGTGTGTGTGTGTGTGTTTGTTTGTGTGTGCCTGCCTGGAAATGGTTGGTGGATTATGGGTGAAACGGTCATAATAGTTTTAAGTGTGGGAAAGGGAGGGAATGTGGGTTATGTGGGTCATTTTAATCTGTTAAGCACTTTGTGTTGCTTCCTGTGCATGAAAAGTGCTGTATAATAAAGTTTGATTTGATTTGAACACCCACACTGCAGCCTACGGTCCTCTGTGAAGTGCACTTGGTGGAAGTGCACATAAGACTTGCGTAGTAAACAAATGATAGCCGCAGAACTAGCGACTAGCTAAATGAAGACACTGTTTGTTCTGCTTTGCTGCTCAATACGACGTTAAAAAAATGATGAAATTGCACACCAGCACCGTTGTCAATTAACTTTTTTCAACACACGTGTAATGCGTCTTTCCATCAGATTTGATTGTAATCATATATGTGCACAATAACACAACATTCAATAGACTGATAATTATAATACATACTTTTAGGCAAGGGCACTTGAGCCATTTCTCCACCTTTTTCTCAAAATTTAATGGCAGCAATGATTGTTGGTATTACCCTTCGTCAAAGTCCACATCGCTGCGAGCTTCGGCGAAGTCTGAATCAAGGGTGCTGAGGGCCGTGGCCGTGGTCCATTCGCACCATTGGAAAAATGAGGGCCACAAGTGTGTAAATGCAAGTTTTTGGACTTGCTCCAAGTCATCTGGCTAACTCCTCCTCCTCTTCAGTACGTAGAAAGCCAGAGCTGATTTAAACTGGAGACCACAGCAGATTTATTGTAAAACCACTCCCTGAGAGCTTTAAAACCGTGATTTTAGGCTCCAGAAGCGTGCATTATTTAGATGACAACACACGAGGACACTTGCAACGCGGTGAACTGGAGCCAAAATTGGAATAAAACTTTGAATAACGGCACTTTTTTGTTACTTCAGAATAAAACATTTTCCCTCCTTGCATCCTAAACTTGTCCGTCTTCTTTCCCCACAGCTGTCCTGTGCATGGCAGCAGGTTCCCTGGCTCCAGCAGGCCCTATCCTCGGCCCACTCCTCTCCCTCCTCCCTCCTTCAGAACAGGCACAACATCCTACGAGCTATTTCCCAGCTACAGGTAGAACAATTAGCTGTTTATTGCCCAAATAAAAGACTGAATAGGGTATACTTACACTTTGAATTTCCTCTTCACATCTTTTCCACTCCTCCCCTTTCTCAGTCAGGCTCAGTCAGTCGGTACCTGCACACACAGACTGTGTTTCACCCTCATTCTCATGTTTTTGTGTTGCGATCCTCATTTGTTTGCCGTCCAGTCTTCTCTGGGAACAATGGACCTGGGGCAGGTTTACTTTGAGCCCCTAAAGGATCGGCAGGGCAACGTTTTACTGGTGACTCTGAAGGAATTCCCAAATGCTCCCAGGTGAGCCTGCTAACATTGTAGTCTGCCAAACTGGTTTCATAGTTGTTTTGATCTGTTTGCAATTCCTTCTGTGCTCAACTTGACTGTTCCAGCCCTCCTGATCCCCCATTCCACTGGATTCCTCTGGTTCGGCTGGAAAAGAACCGCAGCAGAACCCCGCTGCTGCCCGAGCCCACCGCCATGGACACGCTCTACGACCAGCTGGAGGTCGGTTTGTGTTTGGCCAAGCAGCAGTAGTGCACCGTACGCTGCTTTACACAGAAATTAGGACTTATTTTAGTGAGCCCAAATTAAATTTGTAGCCAATAATCCATTAAAGGAATTTCCTGTGCTCTCAGGACAAGCTGTCCTTTCACAGACACAGCAATCAGTGGGTGCAGCCGGGTCTGTACGTGGGCATCCTGAAACTGTGCAGCTCAGTCGAACAGATCAGGGTCCTGGTCCCTCAGAGACTTCCCAACCTGCTCTGCCACGCACGGGTCCGACCCAGCGCCCACGTGACCAGGTGTGACCAACACACACGCCTCAGCGCGCCGTGGCGGTCGTACGGCCGTGAAAACATTTCTGTTGTGTTGGCAGAGAGGAGTGGGCCTGGCTCCAGAGTCACGTTTACAGCAGCGAGGGCGGCAGCCCGATGGAGAGCAGTGGTCTGGCAGAATTCATCAGATCGCTGCGAGTGGCCATCACACACCTCCTGACAAAGCTCAACATCCCCCTCTACAGGGTAAAAGACTGATCTGATCCTGTGTGAGAAGAACATTTAGGTTTCTTTTAAAATTCCAGTTAGTTATCTGGTCCAGAGGTCTGTTTGATCCAAAGAGCTGTTACAGGAAAACGTATAAGTTAGAGAAAACTCTACTGAAGAGGATTACAGAGCCACAGGTCTCAGACCCTTGGTCTAGACAACTCTCTGTTAGATGTGCACCATTCCCATTCCTTCTGTATCTCTGTGATTTTTGCAGGCGTACCAGTATGGTGTGTACACACGAGAGCTGCTGCAGTTTGGTGAGAAGATGTCCATGCTGCTGCTTCTACCTCCCAGTGAGGACTTCAGCTCCAGTTACTGGCCTCTAGTGGGGGCAGAGGAGCAAGGCCTCACCATGCCCCTGCAGATCTTTGAACTTGGTAAGAGAAGAAACCTAGAAGTCATCAGATCCACCTGCACCGTTCAGTTTGTTAACAGAGACTTGGAAAAAAGACGTTTTACCTCTTTATTCGGCTGAAGGTTAAGCTAACCTGCTTGAAGACGCATTGTGGTATTTCACATTAAATTAAAGCTCGGTGGAAAAAGGCCTTACTAAAGACCAAGTTCACTGAGAAACAATTTTCACTTGTTTTTTAACTCATTCACTGCCATTGGCGACAAAAGTCGTCATTTTAAATCCAACCGTTCACTGCCACACTCGCGTCCCAGACCGGGAACGTGCAGTTGAAGGACACAAGGGTGGACGTGCGAGTTTTGGGACTGGGCTTTGTTACAAGATGAGTGATGTGACTGCAGGGTTTCCCCCAGCGCTTTATAAGCCTGGCGGCACGCCAGGTTTTGCTTGGTCACCCGCCAGGCTAAGCGTCATGCCCCGCCCTCCCCGACCCTACCATGTCCGCTGACACGAACGGCACACGGCAGTGAAACAAAAGTAGGGCCCTCCATCAGCTGAGACTGGTGAGAAACAGCAGCGGATCGTGTACATGTGCACGCACCATCCCACCCCCCGCTGTCACATAAGAGCAACGGAAAGGACTGTCAGCTTCATACACACACACACACACACACACACACACACACACACACACACACACACACACACACACACACACACACATACAAGCACACACTGAGAGCTAGGTCAAAGGTCACACTAAGATTCCTGATGGAAGGTTTGGTGTGAGAAGCAAGCTGACCAAGAGAGTCTCTGACTTTGGGAACCAGCTTGTCTGGGGCACAGATGAGGATCTCAGTCTTATCTTCATTCAGCTGAAGAAAGCTCCCAGCCATCCAGGTTTTGATAGTCTAAGCAGGTGTGTAACAGCTGCAGCTTAGACATCTCATGGGGCTTAAAGGAGATGTACAGCTGGATGTCATCTGCATAAAGATGGTAGGAGATTCCTTTGAAGGAGCTCAGGATGTGCTGAAGAGGAAGCAGATAGAGAAGGAAGAGCAGAGGCCCCAGCACAGAACCTTGTGGGACACCATGGGTAAGGGTGATGGTGGAGGATCTAAACTTGGAGACGGCCACAGAAAAGGAGCGCTCAGAGAGATAAGAGGAGAACCACTCCAGAGCAGATCCTGATAGGCCTACCCAGTCTCTCAGCCTCTCCAGTAGCAGGTGATGGTCAACAGTGGCAAAGGCTGCAGTCAGGTCCAGCAGGACCAGAACAGAACAGTCCCCTGCATCACTGTGGGTCAGAAGGTCATTAGAGACCCTAAGAAGAGCTGTTTCAGTAGAATGAGCTCTACGAAAACCTGACTGGAAGATATCATAGATGTTATGTTCATCAAGAGCAGCTGTGAGTTGTTTAGCCACAACCTTTTCCAAGATAGGATAAATGCAATAAAGTTTATCTTTCACCAAATACAATATTTACTAAGACATCACAATATAACTATAGACACATTACGTGTGTGTGTGTGTGTGTGTGTGTGTGTGTGTGTGTGTGTGTGTGTGTGTGTGTGTGTGTGTGTGTGTGTGTGTGTGTGTGTGTGTGTGTGTCTCTGCCTGCTCTGTCTTCTCGATCCCCAGTGAGTCGTGGAGGATGGCTGCTTATACTGAGCCAGGATTCTCTGGAGGTTTCTTCCTGTTAAAAGGGAGTTTTCCTCTCCACTGTCGCTGCATGCTTGCTTAGTATGAGGATTACTGTATAGTCACTGACACTAGTCAGTGACTTGATGCAATTTGCTGGGTTCCTTATATAGGAAACATTATTTCTGATTGGCTTAATGAACTGTGAATTGGAATGTTTATCATGTGAAGTGCCTTGAGACGACTCTTGTCGTGATTTGGCGCTATATAAATAAACTTGAATTGAACTTGAATTGAAGATCTTGGAGATGAACGGAAGTTTAGAGATGGGTCTGAAACTGCTATGGAGAGAGGGGTCGAGACTCGGTTTTTTAAGAAGAGGGTGGATTACAGCGTTCTTAAAGTAAGCAGGGACCTGACCAGAAACCAGAGAAGCATTAATTATAGAGAGCACGCTGGGACCGATGGACTGAAAAGCACTTTTAAACAAAGATGAGGGTAAGATGTGGAGGGGGCATGCAGAGGTCTTCATAGAGTTAACTAGTTTGGTTAACTCAGGCAAAGAAACAGGAGCAAAGCTATCTAGGATGATGGGCCTGGTTGGAGTCGGGAGAGGCGGCGATAAGGCTGAAGGAGAGATGCTAGATCTAACCTTATTGACTTTGTCCACAAAGAAAGACAGAAAGTTCTCACAGTCTGTAACAGAGTGGATGGAGGCTGTAGGAGAGGCAGGAGAGACGATGCTGCTGATGGTGTTAAACAGCACCTTGGGGTTCCCTTTGCTATGGGACACCAGGTTGGAGAAATAGGAAACCCTAGCGTCTCTGACTGCAGAGTTAAAGGATGTCAGAAGATCCTTTAGGTGCAGCAGATGGACGTGGAGATGGGTTTTCTTCCACAAACGCTCAATTTTTCTGCATTGGCGCTTCAGGCTGCGAAGGCTGTCATGAAACCAGGGAGTAGGGTTCACTGCAGGAACTGATCTGGTTCTGACAGGACAGATGTTGTCCAGAATGGAGAGGCAGTGCTTGTTAAACTGAGAAGTTAAGGAATCTGGGTCATTATCAGAAGAACAAGGTGGATCAAAAGCAGCAGAAACATGGCTAGCTGTGCTCTCATTAAGAAAACGAGAACTAACTATACGGCGAGCAGGAGGTGGGGACGCAGAACCTGAGAAGTTAAAGAAAATGCAATGGTGATCTGAAATATAAATGTCCTCAGGACAAACACTGTCAGCATTTAGACTCAGGGTAAAAACAAGGTCTAGAGTGTGCCCCCTGGTGTGTGTGGGGCCAGAAACATGCTGGGTAAAGCTGAAGGAGTCCATGAGGCTGGAGAAATACATGGCAAAGTGATCAGAGGGATCATCAACGTGGATGTTAAAGTCACCAACAATCACCAGTCTGGACAGCTTCACAGTGGAGGATAGAAAGTCACTAAACTCCTGAAGGAAAGAACTGTTTGGACGAGGCGGACGGTAGACCACAGCACAGTAGAACGGGTCCTTACGCCTGACTTTAACCAGCTGCAGTTCAAAGGAAGCAAAGTGACCAGAGGTTGTAGAGCTACATGGATGATGGTCTCTGAAAACAACAGCTAGGCCTCCATCACAACCAGAACCCCGGGGTTGGCTAAGAAAAGAATAACCACTCGGGCAGAGTTCAATCAGAGCAGAATAATCAGATGTTTGCTGCCAAACTTCAGTCAGAAACAGAAAATCCAGGTTTTTAGACAGAATTAGATCATTGAGCAGGAAGGACTTCTTGTTAACAGAGCGGGTGTTTAATAGAGCCATGCTGAGTGAGGTGGAGGAATCAGAAACTACAGAAACAGCTGGAGTTAGTGAACGTAAATTAGCGGAGTTAGATCCACTAGTAAAAACTTTCACACCTGTTAATTCTTCTGTTTTGGGCTGGAAACTGTTTTTAAACTAAACTATTTTACTCCTTGTTCCCGCCGTCTCCCTGAATTATTATTTACCGAAAATGTTCCGGCATTAAATCATTCACGGAGAACCCCCCCCCCCCCCCCCCCCTTCACGGAGACCGGTGAGACGCTTCGCTCTAGCAGCACCTCCAGCTCCCGTTCTCATTATTTCTTGTATTTTTGATTCCAAAACCTAAAACAGGAAGTCCAGGCAGACTCCTGAACCCTCCTGTCAGCGCCTCTCCTCAGGAACATCCACACACGACGCTCACCTCCGCTGACTCAGTGACGTAGGAGACAGATTTAACGCGACATGACCGTTCAGACTGCAGTCGCTTTCAAAAACATCAGATATGTGTCGGAATCGGTACATATTCAAGTGTCACGGATCGCATTTAAATAAATTAGATCTCTGCGTTCAGACTGTCTTAAAAAATCTGATGTGTGGGGAACAAGCGGATTTGATGCACTTTTGCCTGCAGTGTGAACGTAGCCCTAGAGACTACTGCAGATGTGTTGAAGAAAATGAGTGAGACATGTTCAAAGAATCTGAGGAAAGAAACTGCACTAAGATGCGTTATGTGTAGTAGTTAATAGTTCAGGTGAGAATTCAAACACCTAATAGGCCAACTTTGGTACAGCCTCAAACCAAAGACAGAAACCCCAGCCTCCTTGGACAAGGACACAAACGGGCATTGTTGGATTTAGTCGTTTGTCTCTCTGCTTGATTCATCAGGTCATTTTTGGACGTATGATCGAGACTTCCTCTGCCAGTACTGCCAGGCCTGGGTTAGACTGGAGCTGGACTCTCATCTGGCTCAGCAGGCTCTGCGCGAGGCGCTCGACACCAAAGAGGTGCAGGAAGCCCGAGAACGGCTCAGCAACATCACCGACCTTTTTCGGGTACGTTATTAAAAAACAAATAAAAAAAGAGTGTTGAATGCTGATGAGTGATCCACATCTGACCTGTTGTAGATAGGGATGGGTATCTTTGACATTTGAATCGAAACGGTACCAATTCCTGGTACCTACAAATCGATAACGGTACTTAACGGTTTCAATTTTTGATACTTTTGAGTGTTTGATGAATATTTAAAGGCACAGTGTGTGTAACTGCAGTTGCTGTTTATTTCTTCATTTATTTATTTTCCCATTTGTAAGACACTGGGTTAGTTGTGTTTCCTGTAATTTTATTTTGAAAAGCTACATGAGCTGCTCTGCCAGCCACACCCTTGATTTGATGGATACAAGCCAGGTGTGAGGAACACAGAACCTGGATGAAGTGCTAACAAGCAGACAGCTAATGGACTGCTAAAGAACTAACTAGTAAAAGGACTTAAAGGAAACTAGTAAAAGGACTTAAAGGAAGATGGATTCCCTTTGTGTTTTAAGCAAACAGCCAACGAGGTATTTATTTGTCTTTATTTTATTGCACATTATTGTATATGTTTTAATTGTACTATCCTGTATTTAGTTTCACGGTTTAAGAGAGGTCTAAAGAAAGGAGGACAGAAGAGGTCCACAATGAAAAGACGTCCAATAAACCCGTAAAAGAAATCACTTGCGTCTGTGTTGCTTGGAGGGAATCACAGTGAAACTCGCCTGTTGTCAGCAAACGCCAGTGAAGCAACAAGGACCAGATGATCTTCATCTCTTGGACAACAGTGCATGGACTGGCAGATAAGTGGCCTATTCACACATAATTGAAGAAGACAATAAAGACTTTTGGTGGAAGACTCTTTTGCAACAAGAAACTTGGTTGATGAAAAGATTGCTGATCCAAATTGATGTTACCAGTGATTTGTTTGAGTACATATTGAACTGAAACTTGCTTTATTGTTGCATGTTATCCAAAGGTCAAAGGAAATGTAATTTGTTGCATATTTAATACTTGAAAGGTCAAGGTGTTTCAGTAGAGTGTAACAATTGAGTTTGAAATTCTAAGCAAGTTTATTTCATTCTTAAAATCAACATTTCCTAGCTAGATAATTGTTCAGCCATGTCAGAAAGAAATGAGCCTGCAGATGAGGATGAAGATAGTGCAGAGCCACTGCGAGAGGAAGAGCAGCTGCTCAGACGTGGGGCACGCCAACGTACTCTAACAGAGAAGGGCAAGGCACTACAAGAAGAGAAAATTAAAGCTCTTACACAAAGATTTAACTACATTTACAAAAAATGGAAAGCACATGTTAAATTCTTTAAACATTCGTCAAAACAGTCCTCAGAGCCTTTATCAGAGGGTCTACTTAATGATATCTTGGGGGAGGTTAAAGGGCTTTGTGCAGATATCCAGCGTGTTTATGAAGATCTGCGTAAACTCTCAACTCCAGATCAAGAAACACGGAGAAGAGTAGATTTGTGTGTGGAGATTTCAAACTTCATCCTTTCTAAAGCTTCACGTCACCTGGAAGGACAAGCGCAGGAAGAGGAGCAGGTTTGGCCAGAAGCTGGCTCCTTTTGGAGCACAAGTAAAAGTGAAACAGAATCCATCACCTCCGTCATGAAGAGCGCCACCTCTGAGCATTCAAAAACTTCTTCAGTAAAGAGGCAAGAAGCAGCTGCGGACGCTGCAGCAAGCCAAGCTGTTCTAAAAGTGTTAAAGGAACAAGAAAGAGAACAGTTGGAATTACAGCGCCTGGAAGCAGAAGCCAAGAAGAGGATAGCAGCTCAAGAGGCAGCAGCTAAACAGCGGCGCTTAGAGCAAGAGGAAGAAGAGGTGAGGAGGAGAAAAAAGAAAGAAGAGGAAGAAGCTACAATGACAGCTAAAGTAGAAGAAGAACACACAGCTCTACAAATGGCTCTAGAAGAGAAACGAAGGAGAATCAACCATCTAGAAACCATGAAAGAGCTCAGCGCTGCACAGGCAAGAATGCAGGTATACGATCAAGGATCTGACATTAAGAAAGGGGTCAAGCGACCTATAAGCCATAAGATGGCAGTACATGTTAAGCCATCAAGTCAAACAAGCTGTCAACAATCATCTATACCCTTTGTTCCACAACAACTTCTGAGTTCTTCCTCAAACCAAGACACTGCAGGTTTAGTTAAGCTACTTGCAGATGCTTTAAATGCAAACAGAATTCCACTACCCGAACCTTCAATATTCAGCGGGGATCCGTTGAAATACAGTGATTGGAAGCTGTCGTTCCAAACCTTGATTGATCAAAAGAATATTCAGAATAAAGAAAAGATATACTACCTTCGTAAATATGTTGGTGGACAAGTTAAAAACGCACTAGATGGTTATTTCCTGCTTGGAACCGAGTCTGCCTATGTTTCAGCGTGGGAGATCCTGGAGGAGAGATATGGAAACCCATTTACAGTTGCAACAGCATATAGGGATAAACTTCAAGCATGGGCCAAGATTGGACCTAAAGACAGCACCGATCTAAGAGAGTTTGCTGATTTTCTACGGAGCTGCGAAGCCGCCATGGTTCATATCAAGGCACTGGAGATCCTAAATGACTGCAGTGAAAACAGAAAGATTCTGGCAAAGTTACCTGATTGGTTAACTGCAAGATGGAACCGAAAAGTGATGGAAATGGAAGAGGAGAATGGCCAGTTCCCTTCTTTCAGTCAGTTTGTAAGATTTCTGACCAGAGAATCAAAAATCGCTTGTAATCCAATAACATCATTGCAATCATTAAAGCTAAGTGATAAATCCAAACAACAAAATGTCAAAGTCAAAACATTAGTCACACGTTCTAATGAAGAAACTATCAACATATGTGTTTTTTGTAAGAAGCATGGACATACTTTGCACACATGCAGAAAGTTTATGCAAGATGAAGTCTCAGACAGAGTTAAATTTGTCAAGGCTGAAAAGTTGTGTTTTGGATGCCTCAACTCAGGTCATTTCTCAAAGAGCTGCAACTGTAGGAGTGTTTGTAATATATGCAATAAGCAACATCCTACTTGTCTGCATGAAGAGCGAGACAAAAGAGAACAAAGGGCAGCACAAGTTAAGCAAAGTCAAGTTCATGAAACTTTTACTCAAGGAAATAATAAAGTCAACCCACAAACAAGGCTAGCAAGAGACATTGTCACAGCTTCTACCTTCAAGGTCAATCAAATTGAAGCTACTTTCCAAACAGCTGCAATAATTCCAGTTTGGCTTTCCTATGCTTCACAGCCAGTTCCGGAAGTGCTTGTTTATGCACTACTAGATTCTCAAAGTGACACAACATTTGTGCTAAGCGATGCAGCTGACTCTTTGGAGGCACCCAAGGAACAAGTGAAGTTGAAGCTTTCTACAATGACATCACAAACTACTACAGTAAGGTCTCAACGAGTAAATAATTTACGAGTTCGGGGTTTCTACTCAAATAAAAGAATCAATTTACCACCAGCCTACACACGCGATTTTATTCCTGCCAACAGAGCTCACATACCAACTGACAAAACTGCAGAGGCTTGGTCCCACCTAGAGCACCTGAAGTATGACATAGCACCCCTACAGGACTGTGAGGTAGGCCTGCTTATTGGCTACAACTGCTCACAAGCCTTTCTACCAAGGGAAGTTGTGTCTGGTCAAGACAATGAGCCCTTTGCTCAACGCACAGATCTTGGATGGAGCATTGTTGGTCATAGCAATCCCTGTGTCAAGTATGGAGATGCAATAGGAGTTAGTCATCGTATAGTTGTCCGTCAAGTGAAACCAAAGGTTGACTCTGCTCTCAATCTAAAGGGTGAAGTTCACTATGTGAACAGATCAAAGGTTAAAGAAAGGAAATCCAACTTGTTCTCAGGACCAACATTTCTCTGGCAAAATGAACTACCTGCTTCTAAATACAAGATAGAAGTACAAGATGATGATCCTGAACTCCGCAGGGCTTCAGTGTTTAACACAAAGGCAAAGGAGAGCAGATCACTTTTAGAGCGCTTTGAGAAGTTCTCTGACTGGTCAAGATTGGTGAAAGCTGTTGCCAGATTGAAGAGACGAGTCGCGGAACACAAAAGGTTGAAACAAAGAACCAATGAGGGAACAAGCTTGGAGGAAAGAAAAGACGCAGAAATTGCTATTGTCAAGCTGGTTCAAAGGGAAGCATTTCCAGATGAGATACAAAGCTTAAAGGCAAAGGAAGGTGTGGTTAAAACCAAGTACAGCAAGCTGAAAGGGTTAAATCCCACCTTGGATGAAGATGGAGTTTTGAGAGTAGGAGGACGTTTAAATCAATCAGCGTTACATCCTCACATAAAACATCCAGTAATACTACCAAAGAACAGCCATATATCCTCTCTGCTTGTCAAGCATTTTCATGAAAGGATTCATCATCAGGGACGTGGAATGACCGTAAATGAACTCAGAGCAAATGGATGGTGGATCCTAGGAAGCAGTGGCATTGTATCATCACACATCTTTAAATGTGTTAAGTGTCGAAAGTACCGAAGATGTACTGAAACCCAAAAGATGGGTGACTTACCTCAAGACAGAATGGAAACAATGCCTCCATTCACCTACACTGGCATGGATTGCTTTGGACCAATCTATGTAAAAGAGGGAAGAAAAGAGGATAAAAGGTATGGACTTCTACTCACCTGTTTATGTTCAAGAGCCATACACATCGAAATGCTTGACGATATGACCACTGACGCATTCATCAATGCATTAAGAGCCTTTATTGCCATAAGAGGAAATGTCCGTCTACTTCGATGTGACCAAGGAACCAATTTCATTGGTGCAAAAAGGGAGCTTGCAGAACTCATAAAAGGAATGGAAGAAGAAAGGGTCAAAACTCTAAAATGTGAATTCCTAATGAATCCCCCAGCAGCAAGCCACATGGGTGGGATCTGGGAACGACAGATTAGGACTATTCGAAGTGTTCTCACAAGCATTCTTGACAATTCAGCTCAAAGACTGGACAGTTCATCTCTAAGAACTTTGTTTTATGAAATAATGGCGATTGTCAATAGCCGACCGCTTACAGTTGAGAATTTGAATGATCCATCTGCACCTGAACCTTTAACTCCAAATCACATTCTTACAATGAAGTCAACAATTATTCTTCCTCCACCTGGGCAGTTTGTCAAAGAAGACCTGTATCTGAAAAAAAGGTGGCGCAGAGTCCAGTATTTGGCCAATGAATTTTGGATTCGTTGGAAAAAGGAATATCTGCTGAGTTTACAACAAAGACAAAAATGGCAGAAAACCAGAAGAAACATGAAGGTGAATGACATCGTGCTTTTACAGAACGAGCAGGCACCACGAAATGAATGGAAACTAGCCAGAATAGCCGAGGTCTATCCAGGGTTAGATGAAAAAGTAAGAAAAGTAAGATTGTTGGTTGGTGATACCACATTTAATGGAAAGGGTAAACCTACGACTAAAACAGTGTTCCTTGACAGACCTGTACATAAACTTGTTACATTGATTGAAGCAAATGAAAGTAATTAAGTCTGACCAGCCCCTAAGTTTCCTTAGAAATCCCACACTGGGTTTTGTGTGATTTGGTGGGAGTGTAACTGCAGTTGCTGTTTATTTCTTCATTTATTTATTTTCCCATTTGTAAGACACTGGGTTAGTTGTGTTTCCTGTAATTTTATTTTGAAAAGCTACATGAGCTGCTCTGCCAGCCACACCCTTGATTTGATGGATACAAGCCAGGTGTGAGGAACACAGAACCTGGATGAAGTGCTAACAAGCAGACAGCTAATGGACTGCTAAAGAACTAACTAGTAAAAGGACTTAAAGGAAACTAGTAAAAGGACTTAAAGGAAGATGGATTCCCTTTGTGTTTTAAGCAAACAGCCAACGAGGTATTTATTTGTCTTTATTTTATTGCACATTATTGTATATGTTTTAATTGTACTATCCTGTATTTAGTTTCACGGTTTAAGAGAGGTCTAAAGAAAGGAGGACAGAAGAGGTCCACAATGAAAAGACGTCCAATAAACCCGTAAAAGAAATCACTTGCGTCTGTGTTGCTTGGAGGGAATCACAGTGTGTGATATTTTTCACCAGTTAACTATCAAATCTTGCGTTTCCATTTCACAAACTTGTCCTTATTCTCTAATGTTTCTCACCAACTTCAATTCTAAATATTCCTCTCAACTTGAAATAATACTTTTTTAAATACATAAACTGTGGTCGACGCTCCATGGTCATCCAACATCTTAAAGTACAGTAGCTGTTTAGGGATGTATGAGCTCCCTTTGGACTATGACTATAACCTGAAAGAACCAGCAGAGGGCAGCAGTGCGCCCTGGAAGCATGGAGCCTGCTAATTCAACTAAGAAGTAGAAAAGAATAGCTACTACACAGTTGCTGTACTTGTTAGTTTGAATAATAAACAATTAAATCAACAGCACATAAAATTTGTCAGTTCCTCATCATGTCCAACACAAGGAAGCCACATATGTTCAGACCCCCGCCCGCTGTTAGCTGGACGCCAGCCTCCGATTAGTGTTTCTGACTCCCAAACTTACCTCAAGTTGTTCATCCATCTTTTCCTAGTACCAGAACTCCCGATCCGATCCCAGCGTGTCCGTTCCAAAGTAATTCTACTCAAGTCTCCTTTCTTCCCGCAGCCTGCCATCTGGCCCAACACGCTCGTCCACTAGCTAGTGGCTAAATCAGCGTTGTTTACTTTATCTCCACAACACTTTACTAAAGGCGACATAGTTCTCCACGCGTTACTGAGATTCAGAGGGCTTCTTCTCAAATGTTACTTTTGGACTTTGGTCACCTTTTGTTGGTAATCCGTGGGAGTTTACGAGCAGCATGCACAGCTGTTCCCCGGCTTTAGGCATGGCTAACTAGTAGCTTGGTGGCTTGTGACGCCGATCTCCACCACGCCAGCCGTGAGCCACGATTAGCTGCTGGATAATTCAGCATTGTTTACGTGATCTCCAGCGTGTCCCTGGCTCACCAACACTCCTTGACCAGCCGTGGTTAACGATCAGCCAGTGATCGCTCCATATCATATAAGCTGGTAGCAGCAGCCAGTTTGTTTACATCGATGCACCGTGATCCATGTGAAATGGGTGTAATTCCCCTGAAGCACGTTCAAATAGTCTGGAATTTCTTCGTCTCAGTCTACTTTGTCTTTACACATCTGTTTGAGAACTTGTTTGCCTAGAAGGACAAATGGTGCTATGAACCCTAAAGGATCATAGATTGAGGCGACAGTGGAAAGTACACCTCTTCTGGTCAACGGATTAGCTTTGACTTGTACCCTGAACTTAAATGTATCCGATGAAACACACCATTCGACTCCAAGCGCTCTTTCAATGTGAGGTAAACTAAGAGACATGTCTTGGGTCTTAGTTGTTGCGCGTTCCTCTTCAGGAATAGATGCAAGTACTTGTTCACTGTTTGACACAAACTTATGGAGTCTCAGTTTGCCCGTAGCACATAAGTCTCTTGAGTCTTTCACAACCTGAATAGCCTCCTTCTCTGTTGAGACGCTCGCCAGGCCGTCATCGACATAGAAATTTCTTTGGATGAATCGAATGACATTCTCCTTGAACCGACCTTGTCCTTGCGCCGCAAGATGTTTCAGGCCAAAATTGGCGCATCCAGGAGATGAAGCTGCTCCGAACAAGTGGACCTTCTATCTATAGACCGATGGTGTCGTGCTAGGGTCTCCTTGCTCCCACCATAAGAAACGTAGGTAATCTTGATCTCCCTTTTCTACAAAAAACTGGTGGAACATTCTCTCTATATCGCACATTAATGCGATAGGACCGTTGCGAAAGCGACACAGCGCTCCCACCAATGTGTTTGTTAAATTGGGACCAGTCAACAGATGGTCATTCAGGGACGTCTCTTGGTACTTGGCCGAACAGTCGAATACTATTCGGATTTTCCCTGGTTTGTGTGGATGATAGACCCCGTGGTGGGGAATATACCACGCGGGATTGTTTAACTCTTGTTCCGGAACCCTTTCTGCGTCACCTCTGGAGATCATATCGTCCATGAACTTGACATAATCCTTGCAGTACTCTTTGTTTCGCCTTAGTCTTTTTCTCCAAACATTTCAGACGGTACACTGCACATATTCTGTTGTCTGGTAGTTTAGGTCGTTCATCACGAAATGGCAGTGGCATCTCATAATGTCCGTCGTCGTTCTGCTTGATGGTTTCTTTAAGTTTAGAAAGAAACTTAAGATCATCTTGAGACACCTTCTTGTCATCAACTCCTCTTTCTGGGAAGTCTATCTCTAGTGCCTTAATGATCTCAGAAGGAGTGATGTTTTTCACTTTATTTCTGTTTACGTAATGTATCTTTGTCTGTAGATCAACAGAATGATTAAGGTCTGGGACGACCCTTTTCACTATGATGCGATGACTGATGCCAATAGCATCTCCAAAGTTCAGGCATTGGCTACCTTGTCCCACTATACTCCAGCCGAGGTCTGTATGCTGTGCGTAGGGTTCATTTTCTTTGCCTGACACAACCTGTCTTTGAAGTAATGCTTGCGAGCAGTTGTATCCGATTAACAGTCCTGCTTCACATTCCTGCAGAGGAGCTATCTCTGCTTGAAGATGTTTCAGATGCGCCCAAGCCCTCGCAGTCTCATTTGACGGAATATGATCTTTGTTAGCTGGAATAAACTCTCGCGTGAAAGCAGGTGGCAAAGGAATAGTCTTGTTTGAGTAAAACCCACAAACTTGTAGATTCTTTACCTTTTGAGACTGAACGATTGTATTCTTTGACGTGATAGTCGATAACTCTAACTTGACTGATTCTTTAGGAGTATCCAGAGATTCTGCGATCTCACTGAGGACGAAGGTAGTATCACTTTGAGAGTCTAGCAGAGCGTACGTCAGTATTTCTCGTGTTGGTTCTGTAGAAGACGAGAGCCAAACAGGAACTATTGCTGAAGTTTGTGTGTGACCTTCTTGACAGATGACTCTGTTCGTTGTAGCCGTAGATGTCGCTCCTTGAGTTTGAGGTTGCTTCCTTTGAGTTGGATTTTTATAACTTACATCCGTCTCGTTTTGTTGTGGAATTTGCTCTTGTTTGTTACGTTCTTCGTGCAAGCACGTAGGATGTCCTTTGTTGCACTTTTCACAAATACTTCGGTTGTTACAGCCCTTTGACTGGTGGCCAGGCTGGAGACAACCAAAGCACAATCCCTCTGTTCTAATAAACTTGACTCTGTCAGTCACAGCCTTTTCCAGAAAGCCTCTACATCTCGTGAGCACATGATTGGGCCCTTTGCAGAACATGCAGGTCACAACTGTCTGTTCTTGAGTAGTTGTAGTTAACGTTTTAACCTCAATGTTTCTTTGTCTTGCAGGTTTCAACCTTTCTGGACTGTTGGACTCACTCTGCTTTAGTGACTGTAACGATGTAATAGGGTTACAGGCGATTTTTGCTTCTCTTGTGATGAATGAAACAAACTGGCTGAAATTGGGAAACCTATGGGTTGCTTCCTCAATTTCCGTAGCCGTACGATTCCAGCTAGCTGTGAGCCAATCTGGTAACGTGGTGAGGATCTTTCGGTTCTCACTGCAGTCATTCAAAATCTCTAATGACTTAATATGAAACATGGCTGTTTTGCAGCTATGTAAAAAGTCTGCAAAATCTCTTAGCTGAATGCTGTCTTTTGCTGAGATTTTGGGCCAAGCTTGAAGCTTATCTCTGTAGGCCTTTGCAATTATGAATGGATTACCGTATCTTTCATCAAGTAACTTCCATGCAGCAACATAAGCTGTTTCAGTTCCAAGCAGGAAGTATCCATCCAGTGCACTCTTTACTTGTCCACCCACATAGCGGCGAAGATAGAATACTTTCTCCTGTTCTGGAATGTTCTTCTGATCAATGAGCGTGTGGAATGAGAGTTTCCAGTCACTGTATCTTAGTGGATCCCCATTAAAGATTGGTGGTTCTGGAACCGGTATCCTGCTAGCATTTAATGCTCCTGCTAGCGCCTTAACAAGCTCTGCTGTAACATTGTCTACATTGTTTGTTGTAGCTTGGGTAACAATGTGCCCTTGACGTAGCTCACGACTCGGCTGTCGGAGGGCTTCATCCTTAGTGTTTGACATGTCCACTATGATGTCCTCCGTTACACTGCTCTGATCATACACTTGCATCCTCGCTTGAGCTGCACATAGATCTTTCACCTTCTCTAAGTGCTGTAACTTACGTTTTCTTTCATCAAGAGACCGTTGCAGAGTTGCGTATTCTTCTTCTTGTTTAGCCTTTAACTTTGCTTCATTTTCTTCTATTTGCATTCTCAGTCTGAGTTCCTCTGCTTCTCCTTCCAGACGAAGCTTTTTACTTAAAGCTTCTTGCTCGGCTGCTTTTCTTTTTACTTCAGCTTCAAGCCTCTCAATTTCTTTCTGTTCAATTTCTTGCTCTTCTAGCACTCTTAGAACAGCTTGGCTTGCAGCTACTTCTGCAGCAGCTTCTTGGTGTCTTACAGACGATTTACTGGAGCGTTCAGAAGCACGGGACTTTGAGATAGTTGACTCAAATAGAGATCCCATATCTGGCCATTCTTGTTCTTCTTCCTCTGGCCTTCCTTCAACATTACTGTTAGCTTTGGATACAATAAACTTAGATATCTGTACACAGAGATCCACCTTGCGCCGTGTTTCCTGATCAGGAGGTGTGTTAAGACGTAACTCACTGAATGCCCGCTGAACATCTGCAGAAAGTCCTGTTACATCACCAATAATGTCGTTAAGTAAATCTTCAGTTAAGGATTCTAATTGTGATAAGGATCGTTTGGATGCTTTGGCACATACTCTCCACTTCTCAAAAAGGTAGTTGAATTTCTGACGAAGGCTTTTAATTTTTTCATCCTGCATTCCTTTTCCCTTTTCTGTGAGAGTCCTGACTCTTTGGCTCTTTCTTCGAGCCACAGGTCCTTGTGAAACTTCTGAGCTTTCAACTTCTTGATCTTCTTCACAATAAAATAGGGGCTGATTTGGTTCAGTCATCTTACGTCTAAATAACTAACTAAACCTGTCTGTCGAACTATACACTAATTGTGTCCTTTGCAGTCACATCTGGCAGTAACTCATAACAAATAGTACACTAAACTACTTCTCATGCAGTACTAAATGTCGTCAAATATAATACTTAACACCTTTTAAACAAATAAAGGTTACAAATAAAATGTACCAATATAGAAAATTATTGGCCCTTTAACTGAAATCCTTAGTTTATAAGTTCCAATAAATGTTAAATACACTTTCGGTAATATACACGAATGAACCCAGGTTTGCCACGAAGACCTTTCTTTCAATCACAGTTTGCTTAATTGACTGTCAGACTTGACCCTTTTACTTAGACCGCTCTTGACCGTTGCGTGTCCAAACCTTTGGTCTTATCTTGAATGTCCCTTAACAGCTGTGCTCTTCTTACATCCTTGCGCATCCGCGGTTCAAATGTCTCTTTACAGCTCCGTCTTCTCGGAAGTAGTCCGCCCACCTGCGCTGATGAGCAGTGCGAGTTTTCACTGCATGCATGCTTGTGGGAAATTATGTTCCCCTGAAATATTCTGTTTGCCTTAGGCAGTCAAGAGCAAATATTTCCAAATCCACAGAACTTATTGTCCATTATGAGGACTAAACTACCTCAAATAAAAGATGTTAAACTGAGTGAGATTACATCTTTTACATAACTTTCAAAAATGATAAATAAGCTTGCTGCAAAAGAGTGAACAAGAAAGTTTTTACTGTATCTTTTTATTGTTTTTAGGAGGAAATACAGATAAAAAAAATCACAAGCATAATATTATTACATTACATTACATCATTTTCCCGCAAAGGTTTATCACAAATGTTGTGAAAATAGCCAGAAGTGCGATCTCCCGACACGGGGGGACAGAATATTTCGGGGGAACACAATTTCTCACAACACCTGACCTCCCGGTTGACGTCATCCCTCCTCTGTGTGCGAATCGTGACAGCTTCAAGATCAAACAGAACTAGCTGCATCCTTCAGAACTGGTAGGCTGATAAAACTGTCATAATTATAAATGCTAAGCTTCGTGTGGGTTAGGCTACACAGGTTACAATTTGATTATACAGTCAAACTCATGAGTGGGCCACCATAGCTGCAATACTTTCTCTGAACTGCACGGCGCTAAAGAGTCACATTTTTTCATCATGATTTCAATGGATTTCACACAGGGGGCTTTTAAATCGCTTTTTTATTAAATATATATTATTTTCCCAATATATAACCATATTTGATAAATGTCATGATAAATAACAGACAACTGTTTGTATTTATCATCGTAGTGTTGTACAAAAGTCTCTAACATGATCCGATCACATGATCGGAAATCTGCCCCGATCACGTGGTTTCAGACTGATCCGGAGTTGGATACCGGGTTCAAATTACAGGAGAGCAACTTGGTTCTCCTTAAAGGTTGTCAGGCTCCCCTGATGCCCTTAACTTACACACCCAGAAGGAGCACAAAAACGATCCAGTTTCTACCTTTATTATATTATTTTATATGGACTCAGCGTAGCGGGGATTCATTTGGGGCAGAGATGCAGAGCGGCAGGCAGACCGCTGATTATTCATGAACTCCAGCTGCATTCTGCACACGGCCACAGTAACATTTTCTAAGTTTCTAAGTGGCGTCACCAAAAATATACAATTAATACACAGTTGTTTGTGTCCGTTCATTTTCTCTCTGGTAAGTTCTGTCTGTATTTGAGCATGACGTGTGGACGCGCTCGCGCCGCAGCGCTCGTCGCTGGCGCAGCCGGGCAGCGCCGCCCACACTCCGCTTTTTTGCGGTCAATAGATCTATTTGATCTGCTGGTTAAAAAGTTACTTGTGAGGTGAAAAAGAAGGAAGCAGGCAGGAGTTTTTCTGGAGGACTGGGAGATGCAGGAAGATCAGAGACAGACAGGACAGGAAGATGGGAAAATAAAAACAAAGAAAACAAAACAAAGTTCTTAAAAAAATAAAATGTAGGTAGATTGATCCCACTACACGTTTCTACCTGCATAAAGCAATAATTTATCAATTCAGATCATCTTCAGAACTCCTTCCCACGCCCAGGGACGTAACTAAGCATTTTGGGGGCCGAGGCAAAATAGACCCCTGCCAGATATTTTAAGTAGAAGTGCTATCTGTTTTTATATAAGACTTTTTATATTTGCAATAAAGTCCAAAAGTGAAGAATTTGTGTTATTTATTACTTGATTGTTTAAGCTACCTCACAGAAGTGATCTTTTGTTAAAAATTAAAATAAAAGGGTAATTAAATTAAAATAAGGAACATTCTGGAACAGTTTCTTCCTTTTCTTTTTCTTTTTTTTTTTTAACGTATCGAAAGTATCGGATCGGGACTCGGTATTGGCAGAGTCTCAAAATCAATTGACTCGGACTCGAGGGCAAAAAAACCTGATCAGGACATCCCTACCTTTAACCACAACCGTTTCTAAATGATGCAAAAACAAACCCAAGCTGTGAACTTAATTTACTGTGTATCTTCATTCCTTTTGCCGTTATGTTTCCTACTCGGAAGTTGGAATTTCAGAGGAGAAAGCAAACGCACCATTAGCTATGTAAACAAAAACTAAACTATCAAGCTAACGCTATCTTAAACAGTTTAATTTGCTGCTAGAGCTGATTAAGACGCCTCACACTCAGATTGTTGTCGCTGGTTTCATCATCACCCAACAGCTCATCGCATTTAGTGAAGTGAAGCCAAACTTTAGAGTGCATTTGCTTTCCTCTAGTCGGAATTTCGGAGTTCCGAGGAGAAAGCGAACGCACCATTAGCTGAATGGAAGCTAACATATAAAGCTAACATTATCTTAAACATTTTATTTACCTACCGGAGCAGATTAAGATGATGAGGCCTCACTTAGATCGTTGTTGCTGGTTTCGTCGTCACCCAGTTACCCATCCCATTTAGTGAAGTGGACCCAAACTTCAGAACGCTTCCTCTCAGCCTTGCTGCTTTGTTTACAGCTCGCTCACAGTGACTGACGACATTACGCTCTTGCGCCGGTGTGCGGCAAGGGTACCGAAAAAAGGCACCGTTTCATATGACGTGAATCGGTACTCAGTCGGTACTATGGAATTCAGTCGGCGCCTTAAAAAATGCCGAATTCTGTACCCATCCCTAGTTGTAGAAGACTCCAGAGCCTCCCTCCGTCTCCTGCACATCTTTGGGGGGCAGATCTGTGGCCCCTCACACTCTCTATTGTACGCTCCTATAGAGAAACCTTACATAAACAAGCGCGTGCTCACATGGTGCTCTCATAAGTATAGACTTGGGCACGTTCAACACGTCTTAAGGCTATGGTGGGCACTTAATGCACTGTGATTTATCATTGTGATTGTTTAGTTAAACAATGTTGATTATATATTTCCTCATCAAGTTGACGCAGTGTTAGCTTGATCTTGTTGTATTGTTGTTGTGTCCCATTTTTTTGTTTGTTTTTTTGTTTTTGTTTTTCTCTTTCTGCAGGTCTAGAAGCAGACTCTTGTTTATTATTGTTTATTTTTGTCCCCCCCCCCCCCCCCCCCCCCCACACACACACACACACACACACACACCTTTTGTCTCTTCCTTTCTCTTTCACCTCTGTCTCCGTGTCTGGTCGGAATTAAAAAGCCTTCAGAATCAGTAACAACGTTTTAAGTATCAGGCGTGACATTAAAAGCAGATGCTTTGATGCTCCACCTGAGAGTAAATCTGTAAGGCTTGTCACCAGCACTCAGACATCAATTCTGTTTGCTTCACAGCCAGACAGGACACGGGACAATAAATAAATAAATAAAAAGAAGACTCCAGAGCCAAATATCCCAGGGTATCCGCAGGTCCTTAAAAAGTCTTAAATTAGCTTTTCCAAATTTAAGGCCTTAAAATTCCTTAAAAATGACAAATAATCCTTAAATACAGTTTCTAAAGGTCTTAAATTACCAACAACGCAATAAACAAGATTCTTTTATTGCTATGAAATTTTCGTGAATATCTAGTTAGCGTTCAGCATTTTTTGTGTATGATGTTGGCGTAAGTGGAACCGTTCACATTCAGTTGGTTGTGAAAGGGGAATATTTTTAGATGAGCACATTAGCTGGTTAAGCTAGTGGGAGCTTGCGCCATGGGGAAGTGCAAGTTTAATGGTAAATGGATGGCTAATCCCACGTTCGCGACGTGGTTAGCACCGGTTCCAGTCAATAGCTGGAAATTATAGCTTAAACTTAATTTTTAAAAATAGCTCAAATTTGGTCAAAGTTGCCTTAAAAATGTCTTAAAATGTCTTAAATTTGGCTCCTTTAAACCTGCAGATACCCTTTATCCATTGCTAAGTGAAACAACAAATAGCAGTGTAAAGGTTTGTAGTGGTTCCATAAACTGCTGTGGGGTTTTTCAGATTGTAGCCAAGCTAGCTGTTAGCTTGACCAGAACTAATTTTCATTTCTCCAAACTGAGGCCATTCACACGGTTATCCGCTGTAGAGAATCTGCTAATCCTTCATAGATCTGCTCAAAAAGGCCATTTTAGTCAGATTAATCCACTCACTGGAAGTCGTCTAACTATAAACCTGACTGAAAATCTGTCGACTCTTTCTCTGCTCCCATTCCTGCAGCGCCTGGATGTGGTGTGGCGGAACAGCCGCTGGATTATGGACTGTCTACAATGCGTTCGGTCCAAGCAGTGGGCGGGGGCTGCACCTCTAGGCCTGGTGATGGGAGGAGAGCCACCGCCGTGTCCTGATGGTGATGAAGAGGAGAAGAGGCTCACTGCCAGACGGAACTGGCCCCGTCAGATTCAAACACAGAGCTCTGTGGCAGGTACTGCAGACAGCTGGCTGCACATCTGCGGGCAGTTACTGTATTCTTTTATGTTTTTGTTCGTTTTTCTTTCAGCGAGTTCAGTCAGCAGGACTTTACCTCCTATTGCTGTGGGCTCAGCTACACAAGGAGTCACGGTCGTCTCCCAGGAGGGTCCGACAGTCCTAACGGAAGGTGTGGTGAAGGGAGGATACCCCGTTGATATCAGCTCCCAGTGCACAGCAGACCTGACCGGCCTTGTTCAGTCAGACTCTATGAGTGCTTTACTCGACTCTGGACTGGGACCTGCTGTGGTCTCACAGCTAGAAGCTGGGTTTTCTGTCTTGGACACACACGAGTCCTGCAGAGGACAGGACTTCACCCCCAGCACCACAGAGGTCCTCCGGCTGATGGAAATCACCGAGCTGGAGGGCATCTTGCCTATGTTGAGTCTCACTGAGGAGGATATTGCCACCTGCCCATCCTCACCATCTGTGATGGACATGCCGGAGAACTTTGGACAGGGAGATGGTGAGAAAAGCAGCTCCTTTGACTTTGGGAGCTCAGATTTGATGAAAGGAGGGGAGATGCTGTCACAAACGGTGGGATCTGAGGCACCAGAGGTTTCGACTTCTAATAATTCTGCAGCTGTTGAGACACCTGCCGTCTGCTGGGACTTCACTCAAGACGAGGAGGAGACACAGGCGTCTCCAAGCAGAGGAGCGGGTCTCCCAGTGAGAAGCCTGGTGGAGTGGGACAGACCGTCTCACTCCTGACATCAGACAAAACAATCCGTCAACATCATGGACAGCATTTGACTTACATCTAATAAACTATTGCACATAATTCCACGATGACTGTAGAAAATGAAAGTAAATCAACTGTTTTTGAGGCCTTTAGTTTATATTAATGCTTAGTTCACTAAACGTATAAAATCTAGTTGATAATAAGCTACAGTAGTTGTGACGACGTGATCGTTGATTGCATGAAGCCACACTGCTGCTCATCTGAGCTGTAAATAAAACCTTAAGTTCACTTAAAAAGGAGAAAAGTAATCTGTTATAAATGTTAATAACAGGGTTCAGACTGTTTTGGTGCTTTTAATAATCCAACTCCACATTACTCAGGCTTCTATTAAGATGAAGCCAAAATATTAAAAGTGTTTTTTTCTAATGCAGAAACAAACTTTGCTGAGCTGCAGAAAATAAAATGTCTGTGGAAATATTTTAGCAGCGAGTAAAAGATTCTGGTCATTTGTTTATTTTTTCTTTTCTTTCCTGATTTAAGGAAACAAGCTTAAGATTGTTGGTTTGTATTTTTTTTAACTGTTTTGCTGCCAGAGTATAATAAACATGAAAGAAAGCTAGTGGAGAAACCATGGAAGAGGATTAGGGTCACTGAAGAGAAAAAAGAAATGAAGGAATTCTGACTTTAATCTCAGAAATCTGACTTTAATCTCAGAATTCTGACTTTAACTCAGAATTATGACTTTTTTCTTAGAAATCTGACTTTAATCTCAGAATTCTAACTTTAATCTCAGAATTCTGACATTTTTCTCAGGATTCTGACTTTAATCTCAGAAATCTGACTTTAATCTCAGAAATCTGACTTTAATCTCATAATTATGACTTTAATCTCAGAATTATGACTTTTTTCTCAGAAATATAACTTTTTTCTCAGAAATCTGACTTTAATCTCAGAATTCTGACTTTAATCTCAGAAATCTAACTTTAATCTTAGAATTCTGACATTTTTCTCAGGATTCTGACTTTAATCTCAGAAATCTGACTTTAATCTCAGAATTATGACATTTTTTCTCAGAAATATCTCAGAAATCTGACTTTAATCTTAGAATTCTGACATTTTTCTCATATTTCTGAATTTTTTCTCAAAGTTCTGACATTTTTCTCAGGATTCTGACTTTAATCTCAGAATTCTGACATATTTCTCAGTAATCTTACTCAGTTCAAAATTAGAGTTCTCAGAACTCTAATTTTAATATCAGAATCATGATTTATTTTCTCAGAATTATGACTTTAATCTCAGAATTATGACTTTTTTTCTCAGGATCATTAATGTCAGAATTTTTTCTTTTCTTTTTTCTGTTCAGTGGCCCTAATCCTCTTCCGTATGAATCACCTTCCCCAGCCAGCATGTTAAAGGTTAAAATGGGAAAGTGCTCCTCACGTTTCTGACCACTGGGGGGCAGTAAACACCAACAGTAACACGGTCTTCTGTGTCAGTGACGCTGCTGCTGATGACTTGCATCATATATTTTAGTGCTTTAGTAACAGTTTTCTCTGAGTAACCTTTTATAGATGAAAACCTTCCATTATTTTATTTATCTGGCTCAACCTGAACATTGTTTGGAGTACTGCAGCGCCGCTCTGTTCGTCATCCTGCAGCTGTTCGGTTCGGTTCGGAGGTAAATATGATGATAAAGCCCCATCTGAACATCCGAATTACAGTGAGAGTCTACAAGATCTCTCACTGAATCAGCATCACACAGAAAAACTCCGCCATTTTCCTGAGGATCATGTCTGAAAGTAGTGCTGAGTCACATGAAGGTACGTGTTGTGATTTTTCTGACGTTTTTTATTTTTAATTTTTTATTCAATAAAGTATAAACCCATCAGCAAAGTAAAAATTAGGAATAAATTATAGAGATGTTGAAGGGTGTCTAGAAGTGTCCAGAACCAAAAGAAACGTTAAAATTGTGCCAGTTGCTCATTGAGGTAACCATGGTAACCAAACAACTGTGTTTCTCTAACAGCAAACAAAACCAGAGGCAGACAAGAACACAAACACAAAAGTAAGATTCAGGAGAACAGCTGCTGCTCAAATATATTACAGAGACTATGTGTTTTTTGACCGTTAATCTGGAAATATCCATCAAAACTTTACTGAAAATGAATAAAATAATGTCCAGTTATTGAAAAATATTGCCGGCTTTGCACCATATAATCATAAAATCGGGTTTCTGCAGAAGCTTTCTCTCGTTAAAGAGGTGGTGCTGTTCTTCTTTCCCTGTTTGTGACATCACAAAAGGGGACCTTTTGAAACATCTTGTTTTAGACACATGATCCATCCACCCATCTGGGATCAGGTCACAGGAGCCTAAAGCTTGGTTTATGCTTGACGCATTTACTTTCCGCTTGGTGATGTGGCTCGCGGATGGAACGCGCTTCACAACTTGCAGCGTTTATGGTTCATGCGGCTTGTCTCTGCGGTGAGCCAATATTCTCCCAAACTGTAGGGGGCAGCATGGAGCTCTACGGCATGCATCCAACACTACACCATAGTAGAAGTAAAAATGACTGTTGTTTACAACATGGCATTCCAGCATTTTTTAACAGCGTCCTCGTCTTTTCCGACAGTGCGAGCTATTTCTCTCCAAGAATTATTAACATGTTGATCACGGTGACCTTTGAGAGCTGAATCATACAAATGTCTGTATTTACGAACCTCTGCCATACTAGTTTTTGCCGGTCCGCCATGTTTTTCCGTGTTCAACCGTCCGCGTGGTTAGAAAATTTCCTAGGTGCGCGGTGCGGAAAGTTTGGGCCATGCGGAGGCGCGGTGGTTGTTAAAATGACACAATTTTACAGCACATAGCCGTGCGGACCTCATGGACGCGTCAAGCATAAACCAACCTTAAGCAGGGAAGCCCAGACTTCCCACTCTCCAGCTGTTTGGGCCAGCTTCTCCGGGGGAATCCTAAGGCGTTCCCATGCCAGGTGAGAGACATAGTCCCTCCAGCGTGTCCTGAGTCTCCCTTTAAGGTCTCCTCCCGGTTGGAAGTGCCCGGAAAACCTCACCAGGGAGAAGTCCAGGAGGCATCCTGACCAGATGCCTGAGCCACCTCAGCTGGCTTTTCTCGATGTGGAGGAGCAGCGGGTCTGCTCCGAGCCCCTCCCGAATGACCGAGCTTCTCACTCGTATCTCTAAGGGACAGCCCAGCCACTCTGCGGAGAAAACTCATTCCGGTCGCTACCCAAAGCTCGTGATCATAACGGAGGGTCGGAACGTAGATCGACCGGTAAATCGTTTTGGGCACAATTCTTAAACCAAACACTGATAGAAATCTTTTTTTAACATTTGGACTGCTTACAGATGTACTAGAGACCCACATGGCAGCACAAAAAGGAGGTTGTTGTTTGTTTTGTACAGGCCTTGATCCATCACAACCCTCATCAAAGGCAGACCCTCTGAGGATAGTTCTACTGGGCCGAACCGGGACAGGCAGAAGCTCCTCGGGGAATACCATCCTGGGTAGAGCAGCCTTCTGGGTGGAGGCGTCTCCGTGTTCTACAACCACAACGTGCAGGAGACAAACCGGGACAGCAGGCGAGCGGAGTGTATCGATTATCGACACCCCAGGGTTCTTCCATACACACCTGTCCCCTCAGGAGGTCATGACAGAGGTGGGTCGGTGTGTGACGTTGTATTCTCCAGGTCCACACGTGTTCTTGGTGACCCTGCAGCCCGGCAGGTTCACTCAGGAGGAGAAAGAGGCTTTGGAGTGGATCAAGGTGCGGTTTGGGCCTGAAGTGTGCAGGTTTACCGTGGTGCTGTTCACCTGGGGAGACCAGCTGCAGGGCAAACATCTGGAGGACTTCCTGGAGGAAAGTCGAGAGCTGTCGGAGTTTGTCAGCAGCTGCCAGGGAGGGTATCACGTCTTTGACAACAGCAAGCAGGGCGAGACAACAGACTGCTCACAAGTCACTCAACTTCTGAAGAAGATTGACACAATGGTGGAGAACAATGGAGGCGGTTGCTATAGCAACCAGACATACAAGGACGCTGAGAGCATCTTGATGGAGGCACAAGGGAGGATTCTGGAGCAAAGACGTCACAAAGTAGAGTCTGCTCCCAAGGAAGAGCGGGGAGGTGCCTCAGAGCGGATAGGGAGAGAGGAAGAGGAGGCCAGGAGGAGAGAGAAGAGGCTTTTCTGGTGCGAGCTGGTGACTGCACTGGGGAGAGGTGCTGCAGAGGGCGCGGGAATCATCGGCAAAGACAAGGGGAAACCTGTGAAGAAGGGGAAGGTGGTGGAGAAGGCTGCAGCTCTGGCCATGTCGCCCGTCTCCATCAAGTCCGCCGTTAAGGTGGTGGGAGGAGCGGTGAGAGAAGGAAGCAAGGTGTTCTCCAAACACAAGAAAACGCTGCTGCACTGATAGAAAAGCCATCAGATACGCGAGGCTTTTTTCAGACAGGAGGACGTGGAAACTCACTCCTCTGTTTTTGTGACACAAAAGGACGACTCGATCAGGTTACAACAAGAGTGTTTAATTATGACACCGCAGCAGATGCCTGCTGCTTCTTTGGCTTTTTACAACATGTTAGCCCTTTTTCCCTCCAGATAAAAAAAAATAAAGAACAGGTTCTGTACAGGAAGTGACATCATTTAATAGTGACTAGGAGGAAGTGTAATGTGGAAACCTTTGACTGTAAACACAAAACGGGCTGGAACCACCATTCTTGCAGTGCAGCATCCCAACATCCTCGCACACGTCGACGACATGATTCTGTCACATTTACAACACACACAACTTACTGTATAAAGCAGTGGAAATCACACACACATTCCCTCCAGTACCAATCAAACAGGGTATCTGGTTCTTTTGGTCCACAGCGTTTGACACAAAACCACTCAGTTCCACGTCCACACGTAGAGACGAAGGCCAGAGTCTGAGCTCCGGCGCTGGAGCGTGGCAGGCACGGACGTGTGACAGAGCGGCGTTTAGACCGGCATCGGCAGGGTCATCTTCCCTCGTCCTCGGAGCACTGCAGAGAGCCAGAGGACAACAAAACGTGAGAGGAACGCTAACTAATGATTAAAAGGATCTAATTTTTACGTTCTCATCTCATTTGTTCAAAATTAAAACCAAGATTAATCAAATCAATCAGAATCTTTGATTAAAGAGCAAGTCACCCCCTACCAGAGGGTTACTCCACTCCTACTTCCTGTCTGAAAAATGCAACAAATGCTGTTGCCTAGCAGACCGAGAGGGCGGAGCCGCAAACAAATACACACACACACACACACACACAGGCTCATGACATTGTGACATCATATGGTACCAGCTAATGTTCTAGGGTACCTCTTAGCCAATAGCGATGGCAGATTTAAATTCAATTGCAGTGCAGAGTTTTTACCTGACAACGGCACAACACTGACAGTTTTAGGCAGAAAATTTAAATTTGAACTAAAATGCACTAAAGTGCAAAACTATTGACTACACATGTCTGCAGCACAGTTAGACACACATTTATATAGTTTATCATAGGGCTGCACAATATATAGAAAAATTACCATCATCGGGATAACAGGACGTGCGATAGGTCCATCGCAAAGCACGTCAAAAACGGCGATAAATGTTTGGTTCAACATTTCCATCCGTGTCATACATCAACTTTTTGTAAACCAGCTGTTTTTTACGCGGAAGTATTATTTGACCAATCAAATGTAGTCCTTCTGATATGCGGCCAATCAGATGGGTCCGTTCACGTAATACGCCCGCCCCCTACGTAGACCCTTAGGATGGAAAGCAACACCCGAACTGAGTTAGCGGCGCCGTTCCCTTGTTCGTCATGCTGGCTCAGAGCAACGAACGCACTTTGTGCTGAGGTTTCTGGAATCAGCGCTGCTTTCAAACGTGAACGTGAGTCCGCTCGGTGTCGTTAATCATTTTTACCGGGCTGACTCCGACACGTGCCGGTGTCGGTGCAGGATCTGCTCGGGGTCCTTCGACTGCCGATGACGTCTAAGTAGTTGATTGGCTGAACATGAACCTTACGGAATTACGTAATCACGTTACGTTGGTCCAGGCAAATGTTTCTATTGGAAAGATGGACAACTTTGACAAAGAAATCCATCATTACCTCTTTGAAAATACACTTTTAGCATAGAGCTGCTTGTATATTAGGGCTGAACGATTAACTGCATGTGCAATTAAATTGCGATGTGACAAAAGGAGATTTTCTAATCTCAAAGGCTGCAATTTGGCAGCGAGTGGTTAGCGCAATGCTAATATACATGGAAAAACCCATAGGAATGCCAATGCTAATATCGCCGATTACATTATTACAAATTATGAATTAGAAACGTGCCAAATGATAACATTTGGAGTCTAATAGAAAGTAAAAATACCATCAATCAAATAAGTACAGACAGGTATTTTAGTAAAGCCAGAAAACTTTTAACTCCAGAGTTTCGGCTAGCAGCTATGAGCGTAACTGAACTACGCATGGACAAGACGTCAAAAACTCTAAACACAAAATACTTCAATAAACGGGACACACTTCTTTCCTGCAAATACAATTTCACAGGTGTTGCTAATACCTATGATCCTTCAAGGGATGTGCTCAAAGAGGAGTTCAACATTATGAATACAATATAGTGTTTTATTTTACAAATACCATTATAAACACAAACTTACGTCTTAAGAAACATTATTTTAATAACGAAACTGCTAAATTCTTTCCAACAGTATAGATGTGTACTGTATTTTGTCCGAGTGGGTTTGCTGTACTTTGACGTCATCGGCAGTCGAAGGACCCCGAGCCGATCTTGCACCCGAGCAGATCCTGTACCGACACCGGTGAACCAACCCACCTTCATGTCGCTAGTGTTCCACCGGGTGGTGACGTTAGCCCCAGGCTCCGGTTAGCTTCCAGTTAAAAGGCTACAGCACTCTCCTCCCAGTCCCACCCTGCTAAAGAGGGCCTGGAAAAGTTCCCCCACACATCAAAGTGATTTTTCATTTATGAGCTTTTATAACCTTGTTAATCAGGATAGTTGATTTGCTGCTGCACATAAACTGTCAGTCAGAAGCTCTGCTAGCCGGTTATCTTAGAGGAGCTAGTTCAATTTGTTAGCTTGTTATCAGAATCATAGTTGCAGTTTCATCATCTGAGCTGCTTTTTAAGATCTAGGTAAACTTGTTCAATTTGGGGTTAAAAACAAACGTTTTCACATATTTTCCACGTAGTTTTTTTGCCAGTTCCTCTTCTGAAAGGTAGACAATTGTTTTTCTCTTTCCCTCAGAAAATCTTAATGTTCTCCTAGTTTGGCCCAGCACAGTTCACTTCCCAATAGCAGCAACAGCCTTATATCATAACCACGTAAGTGGAGAAAATGCTCAGTAGCAATGAGAGAATTTGCTGTTGCATTTAAGTGATGTTAACTATTATTTAACATTTAAACTTATTTTCTGATATTTTTATTTATTCAAAAACCCTGGTAAGGGATGTTTTTCTGTATTTGGAGCATCAGAAAAAGTTTTATGGTGGAGGTGATGTTTTAAAGTCACTGAGAAACTGCATGCATGCAGTTTGTTGTTTTGCTGCTAATACAGTAGCAGGAGCAGCTGCTAATACAGTAGCAGGTGCAGCTGCATGTTTATGCAATAAAAATGTTATGTTGTAATGGAATTCATGCATTAGTTTTTGTTTGCTTTGAACCCAGAGCAGACGTCACACGCCAGACGACATCAACACTGCATACTTTAGTATTTGTTCATTTATCGTGAGTAATATCGATATCGCAATATTAAGCACTGTTATCGAGTATCGCAGGTTTTCCTAATATCGTGCAGCCCTAGCTTATCAGAAAAATGGTTGATTTGGGGGTGACTTGCTCTTTAATTTTCACCGAACAACCCAAAGGACTCTCATTAAAGTCCTGAGTTTTTTCTCAGAGGGCACCACCTAGAGGCAGAAAACCGTATTGCACCTTTAAGCCCCTCTCCCTACTTCTGGGATTACGGTGGAAGAAACGCCTCTAGTTCATGATTTTGCATCTCAAGCTGGCCAAACAGAGTGAAAACACGCGTTAAATAATGATTCTCACGTTACGCCGTTTCTTCATATTAGGGCTGTAGCGAAGCCTCGACGAAGTCGACGGCTCGATTCTAAAAATTTGTCGACGTCAGATCCGGAAGTCGACGCACCGCGCCTACTTGTTGCATCCCCAGGAGTTTGTAAATAGAGGAGGAATCTGCCTGTTCTTCCTCTAGTTCGCCCTCTTCTCCGCCTTCACTAACATCTCCGCCAAATACCGAAGACCCGGAACAACGTCCGTCCACTACTAGATTATTATCCTGTTTTGCCCCTTCGTCTCCCGGCAACGGACAACAACTTCCGGGGTCAGATGCGCTGCTTCGTGTCTATCGCAGATGTAGAAAATCACCGGGAGCGCTTCTCCCTTCATTAAGGAGCTTCTTTCAGACATGAGGAGAGCTGTTTTGGTGGTAGCAGTCTCTCCGCCGTGCTGGTCTGTTTGCTGCTGGGTGTTTTTGGTTTATTTAAACTTGGTAACTTGAACTTAAAGAGCAAGTCACCACCTACAATAAACTTACTTCACTCCCACTTCATGTTTGAAAAATGCAACAAATGCTGTTGCTTGGCAGACCGAGAGGGCGGAGCCGCTAACAAATACACACACACACACAGGCTCACAATGGCATCATGACATCATAATCTACCAGATGACATCATAGCATACCTCTTAGCCAATAGCGGTGGCAGATTTAAATTCAAATACAGTGCAGAATTTTTCCCTGACGACGGCGCAACACTGACAGTTTTAGGCAGAATATTTGAATTTTAACCAAGATGCACTGAACTGCCAAATTATTGACTACACGTGTCTGTAGCATGATTAGACACTCCTTTATATAGTTTATCAGCAAAAAAAATGTGATTTGGGGGTGACTTGCTCTTTAATGTTGGTAAAGCTACTGTTAGCATCTTCGCTAACAGCTTCTTGCGTTGGGATAAGCTGTTACGTTTTGGTTTAGAGTTCATCTTTTTTGTGGAGCAGATCTCCCTTTTATTACATTTAGAGTGTTGTGGGTTTTCGGTTTAGTGTAAAATATCACCTGAGTTTGGTTTAACCCGTAAGACCACTCGCCTCACGCACATAAGTGACCAAAACAAAGCAGCATGGAGACACTCCATCTTCTACCACCTCTCAGGCAGCAGCCTGCACTCCTAAGTTCTACACGTCACCAGAACATAACCAACCAACACAATAAACGCAGTGTTATACAAAATGGAAGGCCTGTAGTGTTTATTCTCTTACAGTAAGAATTTATCCATTTTTTTTTGAGGAATTTATTTGAGATTTTCTGGTTTTTGTTAATTGTGCAATAGAAAAATAATCATTAGATTAATTTTCTAAATAGTCATTAGAATAGTCGACTATTCGATAAAATAATCGTCAGAATAATCGTTTTAAAAATAATCGTTTACCCCCAGCCCTACTTCATATACATCCATGTTTTAAAGAGTTCCATAAGAAACATCACCGACTGCACCAGTCTGGTTCGGCGAGTCAGAACATGTGGGAAATGCAAGACAACTTTAGCAACCAAATTACTAAAACAGTGAGGGCAAATGAAGAAATTTAGTGACGAGAAAATGTGCATGATTAGTTTGTAATTGCATCATTTTCTCTGCATGACCTGGCTTAATTTGAAACGTGTTTTTAAGTGTCACAAGAACCAAATCCAACAGAATTTCCTGCTGCCAACAGTCACACAAAACAACTGCTGTTACAAAAACCACAACATTCACCAGCTATAACTCACCCTTTGTGAAATAAAGGTAAAAGAAATCACAGTAGAAGATAGTCTGCACGACTCCAGACACAACAGCGATCTGGTCAAGGAAGCCCTCGGTGTGGTAGCGCCACACCCAGTTGCCGATGTACAGAGCTCGATAGAGGCCGAGGAAGAACAGGTAGTGGGTGGTGATGGACTCCGCCTCGCCCGTCTTGGTGATCATGAAGAGCTGCGGCATTATGGCAACGGCCTCCAGAAAAATGGAGAAGGTCCACAGGATCTGGGTGGAGAAACACGGAGCTCAGACTCACGAGTGCTAAAGTACAGAGGGACTTCTAGTTTTAGGCCTGCAGTCGTTTTCTACCTCCACCGGGGTGAAGGAGTAGTTCTCCAGGAAGGACAACCCGATGACCGGCACCAACAGGAACTCCACTCGAAATGTGTCGTTCTCTGAATCGTAGGTGTTTCTGAAGCGCATGTAGATCAGGTAAACGGTGGCGTAGGACAGAGCCAGAAACACCACCTGTTGATTCAGATCAAACGTATCAGCAGTCTGCCTGCTCCATGTTGTCGGACACGATGACGAGTACATGCATGGGCGCTACGATCGCCTAAAGCAGGGGCGGGAAACGCCGCTCCTCAAGGGCCACCATCCTGCACGTTTTAGTTCTTTTCCTGCTCCAACACAATTGACACAGTGGTTGAATCACCTGCTCAGCAGCTCATTAAGCTCTGCAGAAGCCTGTTAATAAACTGCTGTTTAAAATCGGGTGTGCTGGAGCAGTGAAACCACTAAAACATGCTGCCCCTGACGGCCGGAGTTGCCCACCCCTGGCCTAAAGGCTTCCACCAAGTGTGTGAATGTGTGTGTGAGGCGTCCCCACTCACCTTCATGACTGTGTTGTAACTCGAAATGTAGACTGTGAAAAGGTCAAGATACCTCGTGGTGAAGACAAGAGCAAACAGCACCTGAGACTTCCCAGAAATACCTGTAAGGTAAATAAATGACGTGGAATAAAGCATTTATTACAGGTTTATTTGCATTATTTGCCCACTCTCATCAACTACATGGCTTCTATTTAAAATGACGATGCGGCGTGGCGCGTCCGCCACCGGTGTGCCCAAGGCTTAACTCCACTCCCACTTCCTGTTTGAAAAATGCAACAAATGCTGTTGCCAGGCAGACCGAGAGGGTGAAGCCGCTAACAAACACACACACAGGCTCACAAGGAAATGGTGACATCATAATGTACCAGCTAACGTCACAGTGTACCTCTTGGCCAATAGCGAAGGCAGATTGGGGCGACAGTGACACAGGAGTTAAGGGCTCGCCCTGTAATCGGAAGGTTGCTGGTTCGAGCCCCGTTCAGTCTGTCGCTGTGTCCTTGGGCAAGACACTTAACCCATCTCGCCTGCTGGTGGTGGTCGGAGGTACCGGTGGCGCCTGTCAGTGCACCCCAGGGCAGCTGTGGCTACATTGTAGCTCATCCCCACCAATGTGTGAATGTGTGAATGACTTGACTGTGTTGTAAAGTGCCTTGGGGGGTTCCAGGACTCTAGAGGGTGCTACATCAAATACAGGCCATTTACCTTTTTATTTGCTTTTTATTAACAGGACAAAGTGGTTTACAGGAACAGATGCTGATTTAATCCCAGACATTAAATAAAAGAGGACAGTAATAATGTTAGAAGCTGATGGGAAGAGGAGGTGGAGCAGGCATCATGTTGACACTGCCACGTAGCTGCTAGTCATGCACAAGAGCTGAGCATGAACCCCTAAAGCTGCAGAAACATGTCAGTTACCGCTGGAGCATCAGAGTTGTGCAGAAAAGTTACAGTCCGCTCACCTGCACAGGACTTGGACCTCCATATCTTCAGCAACAAGATGATAATAGCCACCAAGTGGGACACGTCACCTGCCAGTCGAAAGATATTCATGCTGTTAAAGTTCCGCTTCAGCCGCGCGAAGTTCAATGAACTCCTTAAAGGCCCGAAACACCTCCAAGAAGAAAAGAGTTTTGAGCTGTCGACTAGCAAACAGACCCGCCAACTACAAGCTAGCACAGAGATGGACGGGAGGAAACCGAGCAGTAGCTTCGCAGCTAGCACCGCACAGCGTCGCTAGCGCGTTAGATCCGAACGTGAGAATGTAATCAAACGAAACGTCTCCAAACCTTCCCTCTCAGGCTTCTATCAGACGGTAATGATGACCCGAGAAGAAAAGCCTCAGGAGGAGGTGACGTGGCTGTCAAGCTAGCCCGGCGCAAACGTAAGAAATCAAACTGCTTCCGGTTACATTTTCAAAACAAAACACATTTGGGAGTTTATTCCAAATATTGAAAACACTTTTTGTACCTCTGAGTGTGCAAATACTCCATCAAAACTCTCTCTCTCTCTCTCTCTCTCTCTCTCTCTCTCTCTCTCTCTCTCTCTCTCTCTCTCTCTATATATATATATATATATATATATTAGTGACGGAGTGGTATGAATGATTCCCCATTCGTCCCTTTAATATATTTTTCTATGGTCTGAAGGTACTTTGCTACGTGACATTTTAACCAGATTAAAACGTGGATATTGCCCTGGTTTTGATGTAATGGGTTTACATTGTATGTTGATGTAATTACCCTTACCTCTCTGGGTCGTCTTCTGATTGGTTACTTCATTTGGACAAACCAAATGAAGTGGGATTTGTTTCTTTAGTATTAGTTTAAAAATGTTTCTTGCACTTTAGAAATAGTTTTGTCTTTTGTTTATGTTAAAACCTAGGTACATTTATTTGGATGTTTATTTCCTTTTGGGTTTGATTGTTGGAGCACGGGTGATTGGTGCTGATTGTTCCCAGGTGTGATATACTTTCCTATGAGTTATTTAACCCTTATCCAACGTTTAAAATTTCTAACGTTAAAGTCATTCGAGCACAAAAAATGCTCTAATGTGAGGTAAGTGTTAAAAGAAGCCATGTGTAGGCTTTTTTTTGGGGGGGGGGGGGGTCCTTTTTTTCTGACTTGCAAAGAACAATGAAATAAAAGCCTGGGTTGCAGGCTCCACACACACACACACACACACACACACACACACACACACACACACACACACACACACACACACACACACACACACACACACACACATACACACATACACACATACATACATACATGTATATATCATCCTTCTGAGCTGGGGTCCTCTGGAGCCTGGGAGCTTGAGGGTTCTGCAGGATGCTAGCTGTTTCTGGACTGAGATGTCTGATGTTCCTAGGATCTGCTTTAGCCACTCCTCCAGTCTGGGGGTCAGTGCCCCAAATGCCCCGATGACCATGACCACCAATGTCTTCACTCTCCAGGCTTTCTCAAGTTCTTCTTTGAGGCCCTGGTACTTCTCTAGTTCTCATTTTCTCTTTTCCTGATGTTGCATCACTTGGTATCGCCACATCCACCACGATGGCTGTCCTCTGTTGTTTGTCCACCCCCACAATGTCTGGTTGGTTTGCCATCACAATCTTGTCAGTCTGGATCTGGAAATCCCACAGGAACTTGGCTATCTTGTTCTCCACCTCAGGGGGTGTTACCCACTTTGACCTTGGGGTCTTCCAGTCCATACTCTGCACAGATGTTTCTGAACATGATTCCAGCCACTTGGATATGGCGTTCCATGTAAGCTTTCCCTGTCAGCATCTTACACCCTGCAGTTATGATGTGGATGTGGAAGGGCCTCTTTGCATAGCCTACACCTTGGGGCTTGTCTGGTGTGGCAGATCTCGGTCTCTGGTGTTTAGGGCTTGTTCCTGTGCAGCCATGATGAGTGCTTCTGTGCTGTGCTTCAGACCAGCTCTTTTTAGCCACTGGTGGTATGTATGTATATATATATATATATATATATAAACTCTGGGAATATACATAAAAAATGTGAGTTGTGTGTTCAAGTAATAGTTGTCCCCAGCCATAATGAGTTGCAGAACTGATCACCTGTCCTGCTTTAGATTAATATGAATCAGTCACAAGAACAAAACCTTCATTTATCTGCTTTACCTGCATTTCGTAAGCCGCTAATGAAGATATAATTTCATTGAAGTTTGTTTTTGAGATTTCTTTTCCAACAATTCTTAAAGAGCAAGTCACCCCCTACCAGAGAATTACCCCACTCCACTTCCTGTTTGAAAAATGCAACAAATGCTGTTGCCTAGCAGACCGAGAGGGCGGAGTCGCTAACAAACACACACACACACACACACACACACACACACATACACACATACACACATACACACACACACACACACACACACACACACACACACACACACACACACACACACACACACACACACACACACACACACACACACACACACACAGGCTCACAATGACAATGGCTGTGTCTCAATTCAGGGTCTGCATCCTTTGAAGGACCCAGCCTACTAGGCCGACGTGGGCTGGGTCCTCCGTCGGCCGAGTAGACCGGATGTTAACGGCTGTGAATTTGGACAGGCCTAGCCTTCATGAATTCCCGCCTCTCCCTCGGTGAACGTTCCGTCGCCTAGCAACCATGGAACTGCTGAGCAGAAGGGAGAAGGAACTTCAAATGATGGAGCTGGAAGTTTTGTTGAGCTTTTCAATAATTTCCTTGGTTCTGGAGGAGTTAGAAGACATGTATCGCCCGCGAAGGCATTTTCTACTGCTCAGGCTGAGACGCAACAATGAACAGGTAAAGTAATTTCTATTAAGTAGGCTTTACCTGTCGGCTATAGCTAGCTTAATGGATAGTTTTAGCAACTTTTTACAGGCTGTAAACAGACTCCGTGTTAAATTCAAAACCTATACTCAATAATAAACTACAACTTCAAATCTTTTTTACTTACTCAACTAAAAAAGCTCCCCACCAAATGAGTTACTCAAGTAAGAAGAAAAAAATGTGAAAATGGCTTAAATAAAAGAAAATAATAATTAAAAATATGGATATCATTAAATAACAAATAACTGTTAGCAGAAAGAGCACATGACATGGAACCATCAATTACCTGTAGAGGGACATCTAGTGGACAAAAACAAGAACTTGTTATATGACTTACAAACTTCATTACAGAAAACTGATCTTTTGGCCTTCATTGCGTACATTCTTCAAAAGTTAAGTTTTTAGAAATTTTACATTGAGAATAATGTTATGTTTTATAAAAACTTGAAATTACAGCTTTGAAATAAAACTTTATTTTTTCTGTAGTTCTCTTTAACCACACTAGACCCAGATACTGCAGCAGGATTAACCCGAGTGTCCCAGTCCTGGACCGTTTCTTCAACCAGCAAGATCCGAGTCCAGACGTTCGTTTGAGCAGGGAGTCCCTTTCAGTGCTGCTGAATCTGCTGAACCAAGATCGGCGTCATGGTCGGGGTGCCACAATTGAGACCCTGGTGTTTCTTTTCTGGTTTGGCAAGCGGAGCATCTTACAAGGTGGTCTCCAGAGCATTCGGGATACCTCGTTCGTCTGTCCACCGCATCGTCCACAGAGTCACGGAGGAGATTGTGGCCATTCGCCACCAGGTCATCCACCTTCCAAAAACCCCTGAAGACCTGGAGGTGGTGTCCCGGGGGTTTGCAGAGCTGGCACGGCACAGAGCTTTTTTTAAAGCTGCAGGTGCCGTCGACGGCTGCCACATCAGGATCAAGCCTCCAAGCGGCCCTGATGGTCACTGCTACAGGAACAGGAAACTGTTCCCCTCTATCATCCTGCAGGCTGTGTGTGACCATCAGGGCCGCTTCATTGACACCTACGTGGGCTGGCCGGGGTCGGTGCACGGCTCCAGGGTGCTCCGCCACAGCCCATTCTACAGGCAGGCAGTCTACCCTCCTCCAGGGCACTTCATCCTCGCAGATGGTGGGTACCCACGCCTGCAAAGCCCACTCCCACTCATCACTCCCTACAAACGTGGGAATCTAGGTGTGGCTGCCCAGCGCTTTAACAGCCATCATTCCAAAAGCACGCTCTGTGATAGAGCGTGCTTTTGGAATGATGAAAACCAGGTTCAGAGCCATCTTCCTGCAAGCGCTGGAGGTCCACCCCACCTTTGTGCCTCACGTAAGTGTACGAAATGTGGCTTTTCTCATTTCTTTGAAATATATTTCAATTAATTAATTTATGTATTACAGATTGTTACCGCTTGTGCCATCCTCCACAACATCTGCCTCAGTGCTGGAGACTTTGTGGTGGCGGAGGATGAGCCTGAGGAGGATGGTGGAGGTGATGAGGGGGAGGCTGGTTTGGAGGATGTCAGCGGTGCACGCTGGCGGGACCGGCTGTGCTGTGAGGTGTCTGCCCTGGAGGAGGTTCCACTGGACCATGACTACTGTTAACAGGTAACAAATGAATTAATTTACTTTTTTTTAAATAGTCTAACATTTCACCAATAGTATGTAGATTTTGTATTTATTATCTCCTATTTGTCTATCTATGTTTCAGTCTTGGTCATGTAGCAGCCGTCGACAGCCAGCCCTGCAAACCGATGGACGATGCAGTGGACAGTCAAGACGCATGTTGAAGCTCTCTCTGCAGACCACCCAGTAGGATGCTCCACTTGTCAACCAGAAAAGGGCAGCCACGGGTCTCAGCTCCAGCACTCCGTTCATGACATTCATCTGTTCAGCAGATCCAGCAGCCCTGTTAGGGACTTCCTGCTTCAGAGTTGTTGAAACGGTCTTGGAACAGGACACTCAGGTAAATCCTGCACCAAATAGGCATTTTATTTTTCTTTGTCAGATATTTCTCTTATTTTGTATGTTTTCCTTCATGCTTTTGTGTATATGAGTTCAACTATGTTCAAACTAAATTGTTGTAAATAAAAGTATTAAGTTTATCTATTTCTCCATTATTTTCTCAATTATATTTTTTTGTTTAATACATTTAACAATACAGGTTACAGAAAAACATTATTTCTGATTGGCTAAATGAACTGACCTGAATTGGAATGTTTATTATGTGAAGTGCCTTGAGACGACTCTTGTCGTGATTTGGCGCTTTATAAATAAACTTGAATTGAATTGAATTAACCTGACAACGGCACAACACTGACAGTTTTAGGCAGAAATTTAAAATTTTAACTAAGATTCACTGAAGTGCAAAACTTTTGACTACACGTGTCTGCAGCACGATTAGACACACATTTATATAGTTTATCAGAAAAAAAATGTTGCCTTGGGGTGACTTGCCCTTTAAGAAGCACCTGTAGCAGCTGTAAAAGCGTGACAAGCATCAGCATTTGTACAGATCTGTGAATTCTTTCATAAGCGAGTATATTCTGTGACATTTGCATATTTGAACACTTTATACATTTTTTAACAGTTGCTACAATCAGCACATCAAAGATGAAACACATGTTGCGCACCTGAGTTGACACTTTTTTCTTGTACCTGAATTCAAACAAACTCTGGGAATAAAATTCAGGTTGAAGGTGTCACATATGCATAAACAGGTTTCATTTGCTTATTAAATCTTAGTTCTTGAACAACTTTGATTATCTTCCCATCTTTTTTGGTCAGGTATTCTCTCACTGACGTCAGCATGTTTCTGTGGCAGACAGGTGTCTTCCTGAGCCCGCCACAGCTCTCCTCTGACGAATCGTACTCCCAGAGCCTAAAATATTCATTGAAATAAAAACGCACGAAGGCGTTTTCCGTTTAAAACAAAATGTGTACCTTTAAAAAAATTCTGCCTGTATTGAATGTCTCTGTGTTTATGTTTATTAGCTGCAGTATTTATTAGTCTTGAACTAATAATTCTATATCTCACATGTTCGATTAAAAATTACAAATGTATGCGGGTTAAATGATGTGACTAAATATATTTATTTATATGAGCTGTTAATAGCTGGACAAGTACAAATCCTCAAAGCTTCACAGCACCAGAAACAGAAAGGTAAAATGTCCAATAAAATACAGTTTTTCTCGAGAAACTAGAAGAAAAAATGTCCAAAAAAGGCTAAACTTACATATAGTCAACAGAGCTACTCCAACATACAGCCGCCCAGAGCAGCGCAGTTCCAGAACACTGACAGTTTTAGGCAGAAAATTTAAATTTTAACTAAAAGTTATTCAGAGAATCTTTCTTTAGCTATCAGCAAACTCTTAAGGAAGCAAGGGTGAAGTTCTTTGCTGATATCGTGGAAAAAAATTCTCACAATCCACGCTCTCTTTTTTCTGTTGTAAATTCGCTACTTGAGTTCTCTGATTCTAGCTCTTTGCCTCCCACAGTTGAAACTTGTAATGACTTTCTTCACTTTTTTGTTGATAAGGTTACAGCTATTCGAGCTGCCATTGCAAACTCACCACCTGACTCTCTACTCCCAGAGCCGCTCCGGGCTACACTGGAAACATTTGAGACTGTATCCTTATTGGACTTGGAAATACTGGTCGCTCAGCTTAAACCTTCTGGCTCTCCTTGTGATGTGCTGTCCCCTAGAATTTATAAAGAACTCTTTCCAGTGATAGGCCCTTTACTTTTGGCAATCAGAAATGGCATGGTTCCGTCTTCGTTTAAGAAGGCTGTTATTCAGCCTATGTTAAAAAAGCCGGGGCTGGATGTGACAACCTTAGCTAATTACAGGCCCATCTCAAAACTCCCTTTTCTTTCAAAACTGCTGGAGAAGGTCGTGTATTCACAATTGGCTGCCTTTATGGACACAAATGATTTATGGGAGACCTTTCAGTCAGGGTTCAGGAAAGGTCACAGCACTGAATCTGCTCTTTCAATGATTTTTAATGACACTTTTTTAGCCTGTGACATGGACAACGATGTTGTCCTACTATTGCTGGACTTATCTGCAGCTTTCGATACAGTCGACCACGAAGTCCTTCTGGACCGACTACAGCATTGGGTGGGGATAACTGGGCAGGCCCTCCAATGGCTTCGCTCCTACCTTCAAGACAGGACATTTAGTGTTCAGATGGGTGAGGTGACGTCACCCAGCGTGAAACTTCGTTGGGGTGTGCCACAGGGCTCTGTCCTTGGTCCTCTCCTATTTGCAGTGTATTTGCTTCCTCTTGGAGTCCTCCTTCGCCAGCATAATACGAAATTTCATTTTTTTGCTGATGACTGCTAAATCTATCTATCTTTGATGTGGGGAGGATAGATCTGTTTCTCCTTTACTGGATTGTTTGAAGGACATAAAATGTTGGATGGCTTCTAATTTTTTGCACCTAAATGAGAGCAAAACGGAAGTCATAATACTTAGTCCTGGCAGAAGAAATAGCTCTGGTGCTGATATTGACCTTGGCCCATTGACCCCCTATGAAAAGAAAATGGTCAGTAATTTGGGGATTAAAATCGACTCATCACTGTAATCTTGACACTCATGTAAATACAGTGGTGAGGTCCTGTTTTTTTTAACCTGAAAAGACTATCCAGGATCAGGCCTCTGCTGTCTAGAGCTCATCTGGAGTCTGTGTTGCATGCTTTCGTCCTGTCCCAGCTGGACTACTGCAACGCTCTGTATGCTGGTCTGGCCCAGTGCACGGTTGCACGGCTCCAGTTTGAGCAGAACTCAGTGGCTAGGTTCCTGACAGGTACTAGATGCCGAGATCACATTACTCCAGTGCTGGATACTCTGCATTGGCTCCCGGTGCAATATTGAACTAAGTTTAAAATCTTAACTCTCGTTTATAAGGCCCTCCAGGGCAGTGCCCCCTCGTACATTACTGCACTTTTGCAGAGGTATGCTCCGTCTCGGTCTCTTCGCTCAGCCGAGCAGGAACTTCTGGTGGTCCCCCGGTCGAAATATCGATCGAGGGGTTGTCGTGCTTTTTCTGTTCTGGCTCCAACTCTGTGGAACGAATTGCCACTGAGCATTAGGCAGGCACCATCCCTTCACGTCTTTAAGTCTCATTTAAAGACTCATTTTTATTTGATTGCGTTTTAGCGCTAGGGTTCTTTGAATTGCCCTGACATTATGGTTTTAATTCTTCTTCTTTTTAACTCAGATGCTTGATTTTATTTTGTCCACCATTTGTTTTTGATCGATTAGTCTTATTCCGTTATCTCTCTTTATTTGTGATAGTGTTTGTTTGATGTTTTATGATTTTATGTTTTTATCTTGCTTTTATGCCCATGTACTGGGAATGTTTTTCTTATGATGATGCTGTTCAGCACCTTGGGCTTCCGATAACGTTGTGGAAGGTGCTCTACAAATAAAATTTGATTGATTGATTGATTGATTGATTGAAAATGCACTAAAGTGCAAAACTGTTGACTACACGTGTCTGCAGCACGATTAGACACGCATTTATATAGTTTATCAGAAAAAATAGTTGATTTGGGGGTGACTTGCTCTTTAAGAAAAGGCTATTTTAATTTGCAACAGTGGAAGAATTTGAGGCTTAATGTGGTGTTCAAATGCGGTTTTCAGTCTTCCACCTTCAAATCCACACCAGGCATTTGGATGCTAAGCACTTTCTGTGAACAGAAGCAAGTTTTTTATTTCACCAAATCAAACAAATATATTTCTATCACGTGTTTGCTCTTGTTTCCTGTTTTGTGTCAGAAAGGCATGAAGGTTAAGATGGACCAGGCTGAGGACGCCCTGCAGGTCACCATCATGAGAGTGAGCTGAGGAAAAGGTTAGGGGAATAATCTGACACACAGGCCTGATTAGAAGCTATTTATACATCACACAGTCTGACCGCCTGGTCGTCCTCAGATGTTGGACAGTCATCGTGTCAGTTTCAGACCTGTGTACGAGTGTCAAAGGTGTCACAAAGAGACGTTTCTATGTTGCATGTGCACGTGCATGCATCATGAATGTATTGGTATAAATTAGCCAGCCCAACTCGTGAGTCACTGTCGTTTTTTTCTAATGAAAATCATATGAAAGATGTTTCCTGCTTTGCCTTTTTCCTGTTTAGCTGCCCGCTGTTTCTTCTGTGAGAATTCACCGCAGATGCAGAAGCCCGTTTCCAGATGTAAAAGGTTTGCAGATTTAAAAGGCAAATGTGCTTTTTCTCATGAAGAGCTGCAGGGTCGTCTTCTAGAACAGTGCTGGTAACCTCGGCCGGTGGTTTTCACTGGTAATAAGCACTGTGGGTAAGAATGTTTGGTTAGCATCGTTTGTTAGCATTTCTGGTTAGCGTGATGGTCCTCGCTCTGAGAACCTGGCTTAGACCCTCCAGCATGGATCTGCTCGTTCTCTCCATCCTCTGGTTTCCTCACACAGACCAAAAACAAGCGTGTTAGTTCTGAATCCGGTCCTTTTGTGATGTGCTCGTGATGATTCGTGACCCTGAGATGGCCTGATGGTTGCTCTCACCTAGAAACCACCAGAGACAGGCTACAGCCCTAC